GGTCTGTTTCAGCAACCAGTTGCACCACCGTTACTGGATTTTGGATGACCGCTTCATTACTGTTCTATTTAACTGTAACCTTTAAATATGCCTTCATAGTGCTGATAGGCATTTCATAAGTTTAAGCATTAATTTTTAACAGTGAAATAAAAGAAAAAGGAATTCACAGGCACATCCCAACAAAAGTAAAAATGCCACAACGAAGCCAGCACGCACCGCCCAACCCCTGCACTCTCTCTCTCATTCTCTATCTCTCTCTCTCTCTCTCTCTCTCTCTCTCTCTCTCTCTCTCTCTCTCTCTCTCTCAGTACCGACCATCTCATTGTAAACATAGTGATCTTTCTATAGATGTTAATCATAACCTAATTTTTCTCACTCATACATCAGTTACATTATTTTACTTCATTCAGTGTAGTGCCTAATCTTGTTTTGCATCAAATTTAATTATATCAGCCCCAAATATGTGTAACTTTAACTCGTGCTTTTCAAAGCAGTTGTTAATTTAAAAGAACAGTCAACACTGGGATGTAGAAAGCTGTCGTACTTCCTGTACTTCTCTGTGTCTGTTAAACATGGACCATTCACCAGTGCCTTGCTAAGGAGCTGAACCATTTCCACACAGTCTGCCTCATAAGGTTGCTGAACATAAAATGGCAAAACAGGATCCTTGAAACTGAAGTCCTTGATAGAGCTGGACTGCACAGTATTTACTGGATTCTAAAACAATCACAACTTCACTGGGCAGGTGATACAGTCCTCATAACTGACCACTGACTGTCAAAGAGAATTTTATATGGTGAGCTACTAAAAGGAAAACACTTTCAAGGTGGACAGAAGAAACGCTTCAAGGACAGAAAGACTTTTGAAAGAATTCTGTATTGATCCTAAAACCTGGGAAGTCGCTACATGTGACTGCTCATCCTGGCGCTCCTCTCTTTCATCAGCGAGCTGTGGCCCATGAAGCTGCTAGAACTGCAGCAGCAATTCAGAAAAGACAAGCCAGGAAAGACATCGAAGCAAATCACCAGAGAGATGTGGCCTCAATTTCCTGTCCACACTGCTCAAGAACTTTTGGTGCTAGAATTAGTCTTTTCAGCCTCTGCGCACTCACAAAACAAAATCCACCATTGGATTAAAGGACTGGTCATCGTGACCTATGGTGGAAGAACAACAAACATACTGTCTGCTGACATCCAAGTTATATGACCAAACCCTTTCACCTGTCTTCTAATTAACTCCGCAGCTGCTGTTACCCTCATTTTCCTTTGGATTTCATTGTTTCTGTTCTGATCTCTTCTTGCAATACTGAGAGCCCTTAGCAGGAATCTCATTTCAGTCATTGTAAATTTTTTTTCTTTTTTTTTATGTCATTGTCCAGATCTGGCATTGATAACCCAGGGTTGTCAAAAAGTTTAAGTTATACAGTGCTCTTTTGGTTTCTACTGATACATGTTGGTTTCTTATTATTGGTACCATTCACCAAATGAGTTGGTTTGCTTTGTTACATCGGTCATCGATCTCATCTTCTGTTTTGTCAGCGGATGATATTATGGTTTCTAAGTATTTGAAGTTCTTGGTTTGTTTCAGTGGGTGTTCTGTAAGCTGAATGTTTATTCTATTGTCTTCTTTGGCTATGGTCATGGCCTCTGTTTTGCTGGCGTTCATTTTCATGTTATGCTGTTTGCTAATTTGGTTGAAATAATTTATAAGGTCTTGCAGTTCAGTTTCTGAAGCAGCAATTAGTGCTTGCTCATCCGCAAATAGTTGTTCACTGATGAAACTGTTTTGCTTTGGATCTTCTTCTCCTTGGTATATTGTAGTCCTTGTTTGGTTGGTTTCTGTGCAGATGTTATCAGTGTAAGTTATGAATAGAAGGGAAGTAAGGACACAGCCCTGCCGTCCTCCAGAATTTATGGAGAATGGTTTGCAGTGCCCTCCATTTGTTATAACAGTACATTCACTGTTGTTATACAAGCTTTTACATGTTTCACCTTCCTTAGCATTCTTTCTGACTCAGAAAGTACTGATAAGCAAAGACAAAACATGAACACAGAGTATAGAAAACAAAGTCTGCACAAATGTATGAAGGTGTCAGAGATGAAAGGGCATGTGATGCTGATGAAATATCAGTTTAGGTCATTGTGGCTGTAAAACCAATTTGTGGCACTCTGTGTTGGGGTGAAACAATATTTCCCTGGAGATTTCCTCTATTGAATATACTTGCCAGCAGTGCGAAAATTAATTTCCTTTACGAAGAACTGGGTAATTTTACCAGCTACAAAGGAGGCATTGTAATCAGTCCGAGGGGAAATTTGTCTTGGTATTTTGTATGTGAAGCATACATTAAGTGCAGTGTAGTTTTATTTCTGTTTTATTTTAACTGTTAAAAAAATTATTCTTTCTTGATTTGTTTCATTTTTTGTTCAATATTGTGTCTGTTTTGTTCGGATAAATTGTCTCATCAATAGAAAAGACATATTGATAGATGATTTGGAAAATTTACATCTTCTGAGCTGTTATTTTTATTTATTAAAAAGAACAGTCTTTTTAACTATGGAACAATAAATAATAAATCTTGAGCATAGGCCATCAATCAACATATTGCAAGTTGTCCTATCTTTGACAATCTCTCACATTTCACTGCATTTCATGTCAACATTATTATTTTATATATCAAATTTTCCAATGTATTGTAGGTCTCATTCTTTTTCTGCTCTTCATCTCTAATTAGAGCACCAGCTCACAACCAGGTCATACCAGACCATTTATTTTGAACCAATTTAGTTTCCATTTCCTCCTTATATTTTTAATCTCTGTCTCAAACATTTTTTTTTTTTTTTTTTTAGGTTTCTTTCAGACTATACTCTTTCAAAAAATAACTATCCAATGACCTTTCTTGATGGAAACAAAAATAATTTGTTATCCTATGGTGCGTTTTTATTAGTTGATGGAAAATCCTGCATGCATAAAAGCTATCAATGACCAGATGCACAAGTACTGACTATTGATTGGCTGCACCCTAAAGTATTCTTGTGTGCAATTTGAACAGTTTTGTTTAGTCAGTTAAAAAAATTGTAATTGTCAAAATTATTTTCCTTTCAGTTAAGTATCATTGGATAACTATGCATTTGTTTTTTTTATATTATATTTTTACCCTTTAGGTTCCTGTAGGATACTAATTTTTTTTTTTTTTTACTTTTGAGTATTCAGTATTTTAAATTAGACACAAAAATTCAGTTTCAAGCAACACATAATCTGTTAACTCTTTGAGTCCCAGGGGGTTTAGCATCACAGACCCAAGGGGTAGTCAAGAGAGACATAAAATCGGCGCATCATGCGTTCACTGGGTCTCTGGGTAGAAATCTATGAACGTATGATGCGCTCCTTGGGACTCGGAGAGTTAATGGATCTATCCCTTTATTCCCCTCTATAGCCTTATGTGCTTTATTTTCATTTTTTTTTAATCAGAATACATTTTAAAAAATTTGGCTTTCCCAAATGGTGACTACAACTGTGTATATTGCTGCTTTGAAAGTAATGCAGTTACATTTCTTCATCATGGTTCTTTCTTCACTTTGGAATCTTCTGTGAAACCTTCTGGGACAAATTAGTTAAGTCATGTAGAATTATAGGAATGAAGCTGGGCCAGCTGTCTTCTGCTTTCCATATCAATATAATTTCAATCTTTAGGTTGGTAATCATGATAAATACTGTTAATTTGGTCTTGTTCACTCTTTCTTAAGGTCATGCTAGCCTAGTCTGACAGATCTGTGCCAGCTGGTATTAGAAATAATTTTTTTGGTTGTTGTTTAAACAATAAATATAGTCCCATAGCAGGTACTGGTGGTGTGTATTGCTAGGCTTTCACAAATTCTAGATTATAGCATATGAGATGAGGGGGCCAGTTCCATTTTTTTGGTCACCTGTCTTCATAGACAATTCTGGGCATTATTGTATACTAATTTCTTAATTAGGTTGACTTGTGACTTGAAGCTAACCAGCTTGCACCAAGTGATGCAGAACCAGCCAGTCTCTTTTAAATAAATATAGCATCTTTTTTAAAGGTTTACTATAAATCCTGGTTTTACTCTGGTTCATTGCAGAAGCTTACAAAATTAGTGGTACATTTTCTGCTTTACTGCTGGGTATTCAGCATTTATGAGATATGTGGAAACAAATATACAGCTCTACCAGTGTTATGTATTTCTTTAAAACACTTGAAAAGCTATAAACATCCCTGTATTGGCTCCTGGGCCCCACTGGGGAAGGGGGAAAAGACCCACTGGCCCTGGAACAAGCATGTCATATATGGTGACTAATTAGGGGTCTTTCCTTTGAAGTTGGTGTGCATCTGCCCGACAGGTGAGGAAACAACAGTCTACATAAAAATAAGCCAGATATCGAAAAAAAAAAAAAAAATTAGGGTATGCACACAAAACTCATGTTCAGCAATAGACCAAAGTCCAGTGGTAGATGAACATCCAGAATTTCTCACCAGAATTTTTAGCCTCACATATGTGGTGGTACTGTTTTCAACTTGGATGTAAAACAAAATGTTGAAATGAATTGTTGATAATCTGTAGGATGTGAAATACTAACAATAAAAATTCATTATGCAATGGCAATGTATGCTAAATATCTCAGTTTATAACCCTGAAAGACAGAACACAATGTTATAGGTATAACAAAATGCAGCTATAATAAAATGTTTTCTGTCATAGCAAGCAGTTAACATTAAATTTATATCACCATTCCACGTGGTTTATTTATACTTTGCAATATTTTATTCCTTTAGGACTAACTGTCACTCCAACTTTTCTCAGATTCCATCTTGATCTTAAAGACTTAATTTCATTTGTTTATGCTGTTTATGACCCGGGTTATTCAAGTACAAAAACCAGACATTGTAATGATAACAGGGTTTGAATATAGCCACTAAAAATAAGTGGTTATTCTCTAAAATGTTTAATATTAAATTTAAAGACATCCTTCTTTTTCAGAGGATTTATTTTTACAATGCCAAATACTCTTCGATACGGAAGTACATCCGAGTTTTGCTTGACTTTACATGGAGACAGCCAATCTCAGAATGTGACCATGACATTGGTTAAGGATGGCCAGAATGCTCTAGAAGTTCATGACACATTTCCTGTTGGTAAGTAAACAATAACATTTTAAATTATATAATAGTGAAAGGATAACAAAATATTTTTTATATACTATCATGATGCTAAGTGAAACCTTCACATATAGCTAAATGACTTCAGTTCGTCTTTCCTATCAAGACTCTAACAGTAATACTGATATTGTTTTCTACTACCTCACTAACAAACAAAAAAGGTTGCTTTGTCTGAATCTCAGCCCACAATTTGTAAATTTTAGAATTGAGTGTCATGAGTGACTGCAATTTGTGAAGGCCCCTTCACAAACCAGTCCAAATTTATTAACCAGGTCATGCAAGGGTGCACAAGAACAAAGTGCTGAGAAATTACAGGTTTAACAGGAAACAAATACCATTTTTACTGAGATATTAAAGCTGGACATAGAAACACATTATACTGAGACACTGACGGTAAACAGGAAAACTAAAATGTATCATACTGAGACTGGAAAGATATGTACAGGGTGTTTAAACTGTGAACAATAGATTTCAGCTTGGTGCATGGTGACACACCATTTGGTGAATCTTTATTAGAATTTTTTTTTTTTTTTTTTTGGATTCAGGAGTATGGAATCTGGCAGCAATGAGTTGAGTCAAGAAATGTTAGGAGTTTTAGTTAAGCAGCTTGCAAAAGTGGCAAGAAGTATCTACATGTCAGCTTTTGCTGGGAGGGAAATGGTACTTGTTACAAGTGCGGTGATCAGTTTATCGTCACAAAATATTTTGTGTGAAAACATCTCCGGTTCACATCTAACAAAGCAGAGTCTGCACACACAAATATATATGCACACATACACTCAAGCTCACACATGCATGCTAAGAAACATTCACACACACACACTTCCATTGTCTGCCTTATGCTTTTAATGCATGTGTATGCTAGTGGATTTGTTGAGACTGAAGTCTGCACCAATTTTTCCACAAGGGACAGGCATGTACATTCTGTGCGTTTTTTATTGGCACAGGAGCAGAGCAACTATGAAGTGACCATTTTGATATGAAACTGAAACTTATATTACCAGATTACCCATATACACATACACACACATACATACACACACATGCACACACACATGCACATACACACATACATATGTGAGTGTGCATAGGCATTTCTGTGTGTGTATGTCTTCTTCTGCATTTCTATCCCCCAATGGAGCATAGACCCTTAACCTACTCACGCCAAGTCGTTCTATCCTTTGCCATTACATGGAGCTCTCCCAACATCCACCCCATCTTTCTAACTTTATTCCTTATCTCTCTTCTCCATCTGTTTTTTGGCTTTCCTTTATTCCTACGCCCCTGTGGGTTCCACTGCAAAGACATTCTAGTTATGCTGTTCTCCTGTTTTCTCAGTGTGTGTCCTATCCAATGCCAAGCATCTTTTCCTCACCTCTTGCTCCACCGAAGCCTGTTTAGTTCTTTCCCAAAGCTCTAGATTAATTATTCTATCATACCATTTAATTCCCTCTATTCTGCAAAGGCACCAGTTAATAAATGTCTGTAAGTTATTAGTAATTGCCTTAGTTGTTCTCCATGTTTTCTTTAGATGGTATCTCACAGTTGATATCCAGTTCCATTTCAAAAGGCTAGATATCTAGGGGTACCTCTGGACCTGGTCTATTTAGAAGCATTTCAAAATATTCAACCCATCTGTCCATTTGATCTCAAGTGTCATTAAGTACCTACTAATTTTCTTGTGTTACTGTAAAGTTCTCTGAGGTTTCTTTTTGCTGATGCTGTCTCCACTTCTTGTGCTAGATCATTTAGATATTTCACTTTATCTGCCCTTATAGGCCTCCCAACTGTGCGTGTATGTGCTTATGGGTAATCTAGTATTATAGGTTACAGTTTCAATTACACACATATGCATACACACATATGCATACACACATATGCATACACACATATACTTGTGTTGCTCTAGAAACAGGTCAGTGTCATCACTGTGATATGAATTTACTGTAATTTGATTCATCTTCCATCCACCTGTTTTTCCAGGAAAGCATAAATGCAAGAAATTCCAAGTACCCAAGCCTGATGAATATTCACTGCTTCTAGCCAATGATGATGGGGTAATGCATGATGAAGTGGCAGTCTCTGTACTTGGTGACAAACTCCTAACACTTGTCCAAACTGACAAACCAATCTATAAGCCAGGTCAAAAAGGTAAAAAATATAAACAAGACCAGTATGCATTTTTGTTTTATTTTCGTTATAGCAGTCATGTTGGTGTATCACCAGAAGGAGAGACATCTATTACAAATTCATTACAGGCAAACTTTATTATGGAAACAACACCTGACTGATTTATTATCTGTTAAAAGACTTGGATTTCCTAGTTACCAGTTAATGCATGTTTGTAGTTTATTAGTAACTGTTTTAGAGGTTTTCCATGTTTCAGCTCCATACAACAGAACTGATGTGATAATATAGCTAAACATTTTAAGTTTGGTACTAGCTTTAATTTTCTTCAGCTTGCACAGGGCTATGACAATTTTTCTAGCCTGTCATATTAGTATTTTTATATCGGTATCAGTTTCCCTTGGTGGGCATAATATAAAGAATTTACCTTATGCTGATGACACAGTGTTGATAGCAGCAAGTCAGAAAGATCTACAGGAAATGATAGACATTGTGGTGTTAGAAAGTGGAAGAACGGGCCTTAGTTTGAATAATGGAAAGACAGAAGTAATGGTGGTATCAACGAAAAGAATTATTACTAAATGTGTAATAAAAGTCAATGGTGTTTATTTTGGGACAAGTACAGAAATTTAAGTATCTGTCCACATGGATAACATCAGATGGAAGATGCATTACTGAGATAAAAAAAAAAAAAACAGAACAAGACACACAAAAACTGCATTTTTATAAAATGGAGAACATCTTTTGCACACACACACACACACACAAAATCTGGATTATTGTTTTCATACCTGAAAAATATTCAGTATTGTTTAATATTCACATTGTAATATATCATTCTGTTTCCTACTGACATTTTGAACTAATGAACAAAAAACAAATCACAAGAACAACAATGTTGTAGGAGTTATCACAATGCACAATTATTATATCCCATGTCACTTTGACTATTCCAAAAGAGAAAATACAACTATATGATTACAACAGTTATTGAAAGAGTACACTTAAAATATGTTAAACTTCACAAAACACAAAACAATACATTCATTTAAAATCTGTTACTATTAGATCATAATCTAAGTAACAATAAATAACGATAAGTAACTGACAAGCATAAATATCTAATATTGAAACAAACAAATAACAAAACAAAACAATCTTAACCAGTTATAACCAAGAAGGGCTGAACAAAATATCATCACTTAGATTATTACTTTTTAAGAAGCTGAAATACAATATATAAATATATATTTTACATATGTTAACACATATAGTCATGCTTTCATTGCCTTCTTTTTGCAGTGAAATTTAGAGTTTTGACATTGATGAGCAACCTGAAGCCAAGAATTGGAAAGGTAATTCTGACATTTATTGATTGCAATTCTTTTGTAGCATGGATATGCTGAATGTTAGATATTCGTTTCTAGAAACAGAAAAGAAAAAATGAAAAGTTGATATTTTTTTTTTTTTTAGTGAGACACGAAGAGATTATAAGATAAGGAAAAGAGCAAAGGACCAGAAAGACAGAGAAGGAGAGAGAGGAAGTATATTAAAACTAAGAAAAAAGTGATCAGCAATAAGTTTACGCTAGTTTATGAAATTGTTAAACGATTACATACTGGTTAAAATGGAGACCAACAATAAAGAACTTTAAATTGTGTGTGTTTTTTTTAATATGAAATTTTTATATTTAATTCCAAACAAATGTTTTTTGACCAATACAAATGAACAACAGATGATGACACATGTTGTTCTTCTGGGAATAAAAGAATCAAATAGTTATATTCATTTGCTATAGATATGTGAGAATTCTTAAGAGGTGACCACAGTAATATTCTTAGCTTAGTCTTATTGATTCCATTGTTATTAGTGACAACTACAAAAGTCAATGGGAAAAAAGATAACAAAAAAAAAAAGTTTTTGACAAAAAATTTTTTTTTGGCTTAGAAAGTGAANGCCCCACAGGGATAACATCAAGAAATGCAAAAACTGAGAAAAAAAAAAAAACAAAAACAGAACAAGAACAAAACTGCATTTTTATAAAAGGGAGACATCTTTTGCAAAACAAAAAACCTGGAAATTTTTTTCTTTCCTGAAAAAAATTCAGTATTGTTTAATATAATTTGTTATATCATTGTTTCCTACGACTTTTGAATTTGAAAAAAAAAACAATCACAAAAAAACAATGTTGGGGGGGAGTTACCAATGCACAATTTAAAATCCCAATACTTTGACTTTTCCAAAAAAATCAATTTGATTAAACAGTTTTAAAAAGAGTCCCTTTAAAAAAGGGAAACTTCAAAAAACACAAACAATATTTTTAAAATCTTTACTTTTAAAATCAAAATAAAAAAAATAAGATAAAAAACAACAGCAAAATTAAAATTTTAACAAAAAAATAACAAAACAAAACAATCTTAACCATTTTAACCAAAAAGGGGTGACAAAAATAGTAATATTCTTAGCTTAGTCTTATTGATTCCATTGTTATTAGTAATTATTAGTTTAGACATGTCCTTACCAACACCTGAATGCTGGTTACACTGAGCTGGTGTGGCTGTTATGGATGGCCTAATTATAAATTCCCTGGAGGTTGAACAGGGTATCTGGGTTTGCCCTGTTGGTCTACCACAAGCACTGACACTTTATTTTAACCTTATGCTGTCAGACCTTCAGGTCCTTGTGGTCTGCCATCCAGACAGATCATGTGATCTCAGAGTGTCAGACTTGTCAGGTAGCAGCTGGAGAGGATACACAGCACAAAAAACACACACACACATTAATTTAGAACCAAAATATGTAATCCAAATATTCTGAAAGAGGCTGATACACGAAGACAGATTATAAACATTGGAAAGAGGTAGTCATTTTTTTTTTCTAGGTTATGAGAAAAGAAAAACTAGAGAATGTTGTGACAACTACAAATGTCAATGGAAAAAGAGATAACAAAAAAAAGATTTTTGACAAAAAAATTTGTTATGGCATTAGAAAGTGAAAGCACAAAAATTAATACATGCTATATATTTCCATATTCTTAAATATTAGTGTTAACCATCTAAGATGTTTTATCAGATTGTGTTTTGTGTATTTGACAGATTAAAAGCATCTTTGTTATTGACCCAAATGACATCCGTGTGAAGCAGTATTTGAATGTGGAAACAAAAGGTAGAGTATAGGAATGGTAATGGGATTCCCCAGTGGTGGAGCGGCTTGACGCTCACCGTGGATTAGAAGGTCATGAGTTCGCTCCCTAGAGGAGCCAGACTTTTTTTTTTAAATGACTTTGGCTCCCAGGTCGACCCAGCCTTGAGTGGGTACCGGGTGCAGTCCCGGGAAGCTGAGGCGGCCAGCGTGATGCTGACCACATATTGGGCCAATTGGTCTTTAAAAATATAGGTCTAGCCCTATATGCCTTATACACTTAAGGGCTTGGAAAAGGGTCCTTTACTTTTTTTACTTTAATAAGAACGGTTATACTGTTTAAGCCTAACTGCTAAATCTAAAACGCACAAGAATACAATAGAATATACTTTTTTCTTATTTTCTCAAATCCCCGCTTTTCTTAGTGTCAGACTTTGAAAAGGCATCTTGTGGGAGCCATGAAAATGCTGGTATTGTGGCTTTAAATATTCCATTTATTCATTACTTGCATGAATAATCTCTAGTTCTGCTTTAGTTGTGTCTTAGTGATAGGGCTCTCTGTGGTGCACACTTCTGTGACAATCTTGACACAAATTACTGAGCTAATATTTTGGCAACAGAATCTTTAACAAGAACATACTGATATCACTGTATCGGGATATGATGTAGTGTGAATATGTAAGTCACAAGCAGGTTCTGAATGGAAAAATGATTCTTGTAAAGCTGACTTTTCTATGCAGGTTTTTTTTTTTTTTCATTTTAAATATTCAGAAATCAGTTTATGAAACAAATTGAGCTTACTCCACTAAAATGACATGATATGTTCATAAATATATGTTGATACACAGAAGAATAGTTAGATATTATGAAAATAAAAACAATCACATATAAAGGTCTGGAAATACTGAATGAAACAAAGAGTAAAAGGACCCTTTTCCACACATTCAGGCATATTGGGCATATAGTGCTAGGCCTATGTTTTACAGACAAATCATCACTCTCCATGTGATGTCATCATCATGCCAGCCACCTTTACTTCCCAAGGGTTGTTTTTGAAAGAAGAAAAAACAGTCAGGCTCCATTCGGATTTGGACACACAATCTTTGGATCCACAGACAAGCATTTAGCCACTACACCACAGCGGTTCCCGTCATTTGAAAAGGTTACTTTCCGAATATTATATACAAACCATCCTAGTGTATGTCTGTAAATCATTAGCCCTACCTACAGGAAAGTGGCTTTGAGATTTTAGAGATATAAATGCAAATATGATTACTTAAAAAATGACTCATTCACACTCACCCACTCAGTTATTTGCCCACTTTTCCTTTCAATCCAACACAAACCATTTGTAACATTGAATTTTAATTTCATGCTCTGAGGAAGGCTTTCTAGCTGAAACGCTCACTTATTGTTCTTGATTGTGATAATGATGCTAACTAGTTGTGCTTCTTATTTGGTGTGATATCGTTTTGTGATATACATAAATGCCATATTGCTGTCTACCTATTTGCTGTGTCTGTGTGCCTCTGTCTGCTGGACACTCTCCTATATAGAAAAGTAAAACAGTGGTCTCATTACATCACTAGCACGTCCCAACTAAAGAAAAATGCCAAGAATTATAAAATTATAATTAACTGTGTAGCCTGTCCATTTCTGTTTTGGTCTGCAATATTAAAATTGAATATTCTTGCTCATTTACAGGTATCAGCAGTCTAGAATTTCAACTTGCAGCAGAAGCCAAACTTGGCAAATGGAAAATTGAAATATTGGTTGATGAAGCTGATGAGCAACACAGGCAATATACTTTTGGAGACTTTGAAGTAATGGAATATGGTAAATACATTAAATAAAGACTGCTAGTTCATGTCTGAAAACTTTGTCAAGCTAGGACTAACAAAACTATATACAGCTAGGACAAAAATGGTTTACATGGAATTGAGTGTCTTCGTAAGTGAGTTCATGGTAATAAGGTGCGAGTTCATGGTAATAAGGTGCAAATTCATGGTAATGAGGTTTTAGGGTAATATTATCTGGTTTAAAAAAAAAAATGTGCATCCTGGGTAATCAGTGTTGTTAAGATCTTTTCAATAGGGCATGCTGGGATATAGGAAAACGCAGACTAGCTAGTTCTACACACTTTGGTGGTGATTTGATGTATGACAAGGTAGGCATCATCAAGCTCCTTGGGAATAAAACATCATGGTCTGGAGAGAATAACAAAATGGAGAATAACCAGAGGATCCCATAGAGACTATACACTCTGAGGAAAGACAGGACAGGCATGGAGTCAGACTGCTAATAGCACTATCAGAACTGGAATTGTGCAGGGAGCTGAAGATGAATTAGACAAAAGTGCTGAAGATAGGAGAGAGTGTGCATAAGATGGGAGACAGTGTGCTGAAGATGGGCGATAGTGTGCTGAAGATGGGAGATAGTGTGCTGAAGATGGGAGACAGTGTGCTGAAGATGGGAGACAGTGTGCTGAAGATGGGAGACAGTGTGCTGAAGATGGGAGACAGAGTTCTGAAGATGGGAGATAGTGTGCTGAAGATGGGAGACAGTGTGCTGAAGAGGGGAGACAGAGTTCTGAAGATGGGAGATAGTGTGCTGAAGATGGGAGATAGTGTGCTGAAGATGGGAGATAGTGTGCTGAAGATGGGAGACAGAGTTCTGAAGATGGGAGACAGTGTGCTGAAGATGGGAGACAGAGTTCTGAAGATGGGAGATAGTGTGCTGAAGATGGGAGACAGTGTGCTGAAGATGGGAGACAGTGTGCTGAAGATGGGAGATAGTGTGCTGAAGATGGGAGACAGTGTGCTGAAGATAGGAGACAGTGTGCTGAAGATGCGAGACAGAGTGCTGAAGATGGGAGACAGAGTTCTGAAGATGGGAGACTGTGTGCTGAAGATGGGAGATAGTGTGCTGAAGATGGGAGATAGTGTGCTGAAGATGGGAGACAGTGTGCTGAAGATGGGAGACAGAGTTCTGAAGATGGGAGATAGTGCGCTGAAGATGGGAGACAGTGTGCTGAAGATGGGAGACAGTGTGCTGAAGATGGGAGACAGAGTTCTGAAGATGGGAGACAGAGTTCTGAAGATGGGAGACTGTGTGCTGAAGATGGGAGACAGAGTGCTTGTGGGAAGGATCTGAGTGCAGTGATGTTATTATTAACTCAGCTCAGCTATATAATTTTAATTTGAAAAAGAAAAAAATTGGATCTATTTAAAACTAACTGAGATTATATATTTAAGAAAATTAGTGTTTATGCAATGTTGTCGGCATTATTGCATGCATGTGAAATATGGACAGTTAGAAAACATTTACTAATTTATTTACTTTTCAGTATTACAATTCACTAGCTTCATAATAATATAATATCCATTTTATCCATATTTAAATCTTATTTATAGTTCTTCCTCGCTTTGAAGTAGAGATCATTCCTCCACCATATATTCTGGCTAATCAAGAGTCAGCGGAAGCTAAAGTTTGTGCCAAGTAAGCTGTAACTATATTGTTGTTTTATAATTATTGTTTGTACTCATTTATAATAGAAAACAAATATTGTCCGAACCTACACTCGACCTCAGGGTACATCAGGGAAAAAATGTGTCTACAGATAATGGATGCCCAATTTAAAACTTCTTAAGAATAGACCCACTGACATCTAACATGCATGTAAAATGGGTGATGATTTGGGATATTTTCTTCAAAGTCAGAATGCATCTGCCTGAAAAGTGAAGAACAATCAGTCCAGAAGTGGACAGACAATCAGAACTTTCTGCCGCAGTTTAAAACTTGTGAATGCTTAGAAGAAGAACCGGCTATCTGACAAAAGGCCAAGTTTCTTTCATGTGGGCTGTGATGTTCTGCAAAGGACCTGCTACATGATGATGCTTAGTTAATGAGTTGCTTGGTGCTTAATTGGTTACTCTACCATGTCTTATGTGGTTTTGAGATAGGTTATATTTTTGTTGCACTATGACAGAATGTGTGTATATTTGTTTATAGGTACACATATGGCAAGAATGTTTCTGGATTCTTAGATGTGGATGTCTGCTGGAGTGCATTTTATGGACCTCCTTTGCCTTGTATCAAGGAAGTAGTTAAGGTATAACAATGTGGTTTATAATACACTGTGTTTTAATTTTTTAAAGTCTTACAGGCAAAAGTGTCTCAGCAGAAAAAAACAAAAAAACAGTGTGACTGTAATTAGTGTTAAATGACTACACTTGTGATGGACACATTGAAGATGTGTTAAAAATATACAGGAGAAAAGAAAATCAGACATGTGAAAGAGATAGGGATATCCTGAAAACTGCTTTTCTGTTAACTGAATTAAAGTTAAAGTCAAAAAGATTGATTTCATTTCACTGAGTACTTCCTCTATATCTCAGTTTCTCTGAAGAATTTCTAGCCACCTGCTGAGAGCATCCCATAAAGCACAGACACTGTAGCTTCAGCAGCTATCCCTAGGGTTCTCCAGGAAAATTACACCCTCAAACCGACACCCCATGTGAGTTCCGGGGCCCTATGAAATGGGGATAAAAATATTAGACCCACTGCTTACCCAAAAGCATGTCGTAAGAGTCGACTGATTGGGAGCTTTCTTCGAAGTCAGAGTGCATTTTTCTAAGAGGCAAGGAACTAGCAGTCTGCATAAAAATGAGTCAGATCTGTAAAACAGATGCACACTCAACACTCAGGCTCTGAAACAGGACTGCAGTCAAAAAGTGGACCAACAACCAGAACTTTCAGTCAGAGTTTACAGCTGGTGAAGGCAAAAAAGAAGAAGAAGAAACTGAGTGACACATCCGTGAAACAAATCTTCAGAGCATGTGGCAAGCAACTACTTCACTATAGAGATCCCATATATTATTTATTATGTGTTATAGATGCAGGGTCAAAATTAGAAAATTTACATGGGATTTTTGTGTAAAAAACTGTTTCTTTATAGATATTCGAACCTAATAATTTCTCATTACTCATAGTGGTTACCCATCAGTGAGGTCACAGGGTCTTGAATCAGTCGTGACATAAATTGTTTATGGCTCCAAGAAATTTAACTTTATTAATTCTCCGCTGCATTCATGTTGTACGCAAATACAAAATGTTATTTGTCCGTAAATGGAATTGTTAGGATTTTTGTGTCTCAATGGAATTTTTAGGATTTTCTTTTGTCTTACCTGTGTAAATAGGTCAGGAAAAACTGGCCAAATAGTTAGAAACGCTGGGCTCTCATGCAGAAGACCTAGGTTTGAATCCTCTGTAAGGTCAAGGCATTTTTTTCGGCTGCAGGTAAAACTAAACATCTAACTTGCACAGTCCATGGTAAAAGCACGAGCCATGTGTCTCTAAAATCTCAGGTGCAAAGACCCCTTGTTCAGACTGCAAAAGTAGTAAATAAACACAGAAATTAGCAGGATTTTTATTTTATTTTTATTTTATTTCTTTGCAGTAAAATAGTCATTTATTTAAGGATTTTTGTTCCAAGAATTACTCTCTTCCCAGATAGTGTTTTACAGAAGTATATTGATAATTCTTTGAACACTCACAGTGAGTAATCTAATGTTTTAACTGAGACTAACATACAAAGAAAAAAATTTTTTTAACAAAAAAGAGGCTTATACAATTCATAAGTACCTTTCATCATTTCATAGAAACATATTTGAATATTTTTATTGCGGAACAGTACAACTTAGAGCAAGTCTGTAAATTCAAGAATATTTAAACTGATGAAAATAACATTTTTAATCTATTATTTTTACAGATTTCTGGGTGCCACATTTTCTCATTTGCAATTGCTGATGTTGTTAAACGAAGCTACCATTTTCATGCCTATGAGCTGCAGATCAAAGCGTCTGTGACTGAAGATGGAACAGGAGCTGTGGTAAATGCATCTAAAAATGGTCCATCATGGACCGATATTCCTTTGAAAATGCAACTAGATGATTACACCAATGGATTTTTCAAGCCAGGGCTGCCCTATTATGGACAGGTAAATAAATATTGTATCTTTCTGCTTCTTTCGTTTTTTCACTGTTACCAGGTTGTAGCTCAGTGTGAAGGCTCTCTGTATTTATCTTGCGCTTCTCAAGTGGTTCGGGTGATGGTTTTTTTCATCTTTTTGGAGGTTTCAGCTGCACCATTTATCTATCTCTTTCTTAGTTGTACACCTCCACTTGCTTGAAGGCTGCCTGTATTTATCTTGCGCTTCTCAAGTGGTTTGGGTGATGGATTTTTTCATCTTTTTGGAGATTTCACCTTCACCATTTATCTATCTCCTTCTTAGTTGTACACCTCCACTTGCTCCCAGAAGTTCTGCTGTAAAAAATCTTATCTTTAGTTTGGTCTGGCTGCATTCTCACTAGATTGCCAAACCATTTCATTCTTTAGAATGCAAAATATTGTGTTCCAAGTTAAAAAATAATAAAACATGTACATATTAGTGATTGATGAAAACCAGTGATTTTGTTTTCTAGAAACAAAGGTGCCTGTACTCACCACAAAATGTCTGTTTAAAAAAATTGCCATGCACTGAAAAAAATGATGGTTAAGAAAGGGCGACAATACAGCATAAAATTGCTACCCCCAGAAAAATAAAGAAAAAAAACTGCTGAAGACTATTATTACAGTGCTGTGGACAAATCCACAGGCGCTCCGATCTTCTCATTTTCTACTCAAGTGCAGAAGACTGACTGATGCATGTTCTACGCTGATTAACTAAACATCTTTTGCACTTAGTAAAGTGTTCATGTTTGGCAGTAAGGATACAAAGTCATGCAAACACAAGCTGCAAACATGTAACTCATCTCTTGAACACAATCCAAAACCAAATGAGATCGAGACCAGAAAACGTCACCACAAATATAGCTGAAAGGAAAGTGAGCAGAAATGTGAGCGGACCTAGCTGAAAGTGGTCAACGAAAGAGAATTTGAAACTCATCTCTGTTTTTGCTTCCTGTCCTTTTTGGACGAAATTTTTCGTTAATTGAAGCCCTACTCAGGTTTTGCCGGGGGCCGCAATATAGCCTGGCCATAAATATGACCTAAAGGCTGGGACCTCTCCACGGTGATCCTCACCCACATGGTGGCACATTGTGTCATCGGGTGTTTATCGCTTGGGTGATGTCCTGGTGGGGTTAAAAGTCAGTCAGTCAGTCAACTCATCTCTGTAATCACCTTAGGGATATGCCTTTCACATGGCATTGATGATTTCAGTTTGATTTATGGGTGGGCCATTGATAGGAACTACAGTGTCATCCAGACAAACTGTGTGCTTGTTGCCTTGAATACCCGTCTTTAAAAAAGTCATAAAGAGTTTGCCAGTTTACTGTCTGAAGTATTCACCATATTTCATCAGGTATTTATCACAGGATTAAATTAGCATAAATATGAAGCAATAAACATGGAACAATAAACAGTGCACTCTTATTGCTGCTGAATTACACAACAAACACAGTTCTGGGTTTTCTTATAAATGTTTCAAAAAGGAGTGGCTGGCCAAGTAGTTACATTGTCTGGACCTCATGTGGGAGGCCCGTGTTCGACCCTAGTAAAATGATATTTTTTTTGTTTGGGGCAAAAGTAAAGATCCTAACCTTCACAGTCCTTGATGACTGCACTAGTCCTGCAGCCCTAAATCTTCAGGCTCACAACCCCCTGTCTGCACCATCCTTAAAAAAAAGTGGCAAATACAGACAGTAGTGACAGTTTTGACAGCCCAATCAATCAGGTGTCATCACCACAATAAAGGTTGACTGTAATAAATTTCTAACATGTTCTGTCTCTTGCCGTGGTAATACACTCTCTTTTACTGCTGTTTAGCCATCCCTTGATTTGTTCTCCCACTTGAATCATTGTCTACTTCTTTCTTTCTTGCTTTCAAGGTCTCACTCCTGTATGGTTTATTAAAAGTATGTTATGCCTTTCGATAAGGGTGAAATATTTCAGTTGTCTCTATTTACATTTCTTCTAGTATCTCTCTTTTCATTTTCAGTCTCTGCATGACTCCTGTATTTGATTTGATTGTTTTTGTCTCAGTGAAAAACAACCAACATTTTAATTTGAATGTTAACATGTGGCATTAAAACACAGGTCTATGTGTGTGTTGCTGATTTCAGCTTGATAGATACATTGTGGTTTGCTTCATGTTTTATGTTGAGTTAATTATGTAGCATGCATAATTAAAAAAAATACTGCAAAATATACCGGGCAATACAGTCTGCAGTCTATTGTTTTTATTGTCATTATTCTAATTTACAGTGGCCAACTATTGCTTTTAATTATTTTTACCATTTGTAAGTTTATGGTGTTAGGAAATTATTTATTTTATGGATCCATTGTATACAATGGATAATTATACCAAAAAATACAACATTTGTAGTACTGTGAAATATTATTTTGTGGCAACACTCAGACATTTTATATCCACAGAAAACAACTGATTTATCTATGCTACTGATTCAGGATAATTTTCTTTCACAGGTCACAGTTATGAATCTTGATGGAACACCAGCTGGGGGAGAGTCTATCACAATAACAGCATCAGATATGAACAATAATTTGAAATTTTCCAAGACTTTTATCTCAGACAGATACGGAATTGTTGAGTTTTCCCTGTGTCGCAGTTTTACAGAGGATTCTACAAGCATTTCAATAGAAGTAAGTTAAAAATTATTTTATATATGATCATAGAGAGTGATCGAAACCCATTGCTGCTGCTTAGATTTTTGTCATAGGATGGGAAGTTGCAGGTCAACCCAGCCTAAAATGGGTACCAGGATGGATGTTCTGGGAAAGAAAAGATGGCCGGTGTTATGCTGACCACATGACCCGCCTAGTGCGATAGGTCTGTGAAAATATGGATGCTCTTCTGATGCGCCTAGAGGCAGGAAAAGGGATCTTTCCTTACTTACTTTATGATCATATAGAGTGATAATAAGTTAATTTGACTAATTGTATTTAGTATCTTCTTTTTCTCCTCCTCCTCCTCCTTTTCTTCTAAATATTAGGACTGGATGGGATGTAAGGCTCTTATGTGTGCCCTTTCTAATGCACAGTATAAGTTGATTTCCACTTCTTTAAGGTGGTTTCTGATTCTGTCATTCTATCTTTAGCATGATCTTCTTCCTGCTTTTATTATCTTTCTTCAGCATGGCTGTCTGTAGCATTCTTATCGGCTAGCCAAACCATTTCATCTCTTGCTCATTAATGAAATATATTACTTGCTTTAGTCCTAGTCTTCTTTTAATTTCTGGTGTAATCTTAAATTTGGTGATTACTGATTCCTACAATCTTCCATCTAGTGATCCCTGATTACCAAAATCTTCCATCTGGTGACCACTCAGTTTTCAAGATGCTTTTTGTTTTGTTTTGTTTGTTACATAAATGCCTTGAGACATTAAGTGAATAGATAATGACAGTCCTGACTGTAATGCATCTGATGATTTGCAGCAAAACATGCCAGGCAATAAATTATGTAATATATTGTCTGTGTCCTTATTTGAATTTAGGACAGTGAAACATTGTTTAAACTTTGATTTGTTATCTGACACATACTGGATTGCAGAGTTGACTGCAGCATTGATTTTAGCAAGAAAGTAAAGTCAGATGTTGAAAGGATAGGGAATGTTGCCACATGAACGCTACCTGCTGAGATTGCCTATAAAATATACTGCCACTGTAGTCCATAGTACATTTCCAGCCAAGGAGACCTTTTCCAATTATATTCAGCTCTAGTTCTTGTCAAACAGGCATTTGACATTAATTGCAAAAGAACTATGCAGAGAAAAAGAACAGATCAACTCACCTCAGAATACTATAAAGCAGCATATGCGGTGTCATAAACCACAAATAGGATTATTTATACTGTCTATACGCTGTTGCTTGACAGATGTCGTCTTCTGGTCCATGCATTGTGGAAAGTTTTGAATTTTCTTTTAGACTGCTTTCGTCATTGATATCAAATGACACTGTAAAACATGATGTTTTCAATCTCTCTGCACATCAGAGAGTATTAAATTTAAAAAAAAAAAGATGAAATAAGATTCAGTCAGCACTTGTAAAATGACAAATATACAAGGGTATGAATTCAAGAGAGGTGAAGAAATAAGAGAAATGTCTTGGCAACAGTTGGAAACAGCAGTTAATAAGACAAAGAAAATGGTGCTGTATTGAACACATGCTGAGAAGACATGAGCAGAAAATCACCAGTCGACACTAAAATGGGAAATAAAGGGAATGAAGAAGCAAGGACACACAAAAGAAACCCTACAATGAACATTGATGAGAAAGACCCACAAAATGCTGCACTGGATTCCATTTATGATATTGAATTGATAACACATTATAGAACTGTGTTGAGGATTAGACTGTGAGCCTTTTGTGACATATAATGGCACAACAGGATGGTGAATTAATTAAATAAATTAGCACCTGACGAGTAATGCAGCTAATATCATCCCAGTTGCCTTAACTTCCTAGGTCATTACCCTAAACATCTTTTAGGCAGTGTCGACCTTGGAGCTGGTTCAGTCAAAACATTTTCATTATTCTTCTTGTGAATTCGAATCAGTGACTGTTGAACCAACAGGCTAACATACAAGTAGGACCTTATTAATTTACATCATAAAATTAATGTATGCTTTCATCCTTCATTCCCTGACAATTATCTGAACTAGGCACTTACCTCATGGTATTGCTTACAATATCCACAGGCAGCAGCAGAAAAATATACTTCAGTTGAAGGACTAAATACCCCAAGGGCATACAAAGCAATCAAGCAGTGGTTTTCCCCATCCCTCAGCTACATACAGATACCACGTATTGATTTAAGTGGTCATTGTGGGAAGAGTTTGACCCTCAGCATCCCGTTCACCACACAGATCAATACTAACATAGAATTTAATTACCAGGTCAGTCACCAGTATTTATTTATTTCTACTACTTTTGTGGTGGTAATGGTTGTTGTTTTTGTTGTTTGTTGTTGTTGTTGTTGTTGGGCATCATTGTTGCAGCAGTAGTAGTAACAGTAGTAGTAACTGTTACAGTAGTACTAGTAATTTCATTAACAAAATCCCGTTCAACCCATGTGGATTATAATTTTTTATTTCAGCGTTATAAATTCATGCTTATCAATTAATTACCTTTGGTTATTTAATCTTGCGTAGATTATGTATTAATTATAATGGCATAGATTAAGTGTAAAATATTTAAACTATATTTCAAATAATTGCAATAAATCATACTGTCTAATCTATCTTTTGGATTATTTAAGTGATCTGGAATACATTTAGTGTGTCTTACGATATATTAACACCTCATATGTAGACATTTGTTCTTGTAATGTACTGCTTAGTCATTCCCTATAAGTTCTCTAGAGCTATTTATGCCCAGCGTGTTTTCTACTGGCATAAGTCTCCTACAACAAGTCATGTATTTGTTAGGAAAAGTCTATTGGGCTCATAAATAGCTGTTTCCTTCTAGACAGCTGTTAGTTCAACATATTATCTTACAAAGTCTGCATGATTTAAAGTCCAGATTTCTCAAGTCTTAGTGAGTTGAAATAAAGCATTTATGGAAGGGACTATGTTAAAATTGCAGCTGAAAGACAGTTGATTATCAGAATTTAAAAAATCCACCAGTACAAATTCATAATTGCATGTTATGTTGGTCTTCAGTATTCTGAGCCCTTGAGGTTAATTGCTGCAGATATCACCCATGTCCATTCATTTCTGTGATTTGCCTTCTCTATTGAGTTGGCGATCTTAAGTGTTTGTGGGTCTGCTTGGATATTATCTCTCCGCCATCCTCTTGGTCTTCCTCGTGGTCTGTGAACAGTCAACTCCTGTGTGTACACAGTTTTTACATCTGACATTCTGTCTGTATGCCACAGCCATTTCAGTCTATTAGCCCTCATGATGTCAGTGATCAATAGTGTTTTAAACAGATTCTGAAATTTTATTTGGCTTCACCTTTTTTATTCTCTGCTAATTGGCATCAGTGATGGATCCATCCAAATTTGAGGCGTAGATTTGCTGTGTATTGAATAGTAGTTAATCATATCATGAGTTTTCTGGCACTAAAGACAAAAAACAAAAAAGTTGAATGAATGAAAAAAAAAAAAAACTAGTGAATGTGAAAATTGGTGAACATTAAATGGAATATTTCAAGAAAGGCAAAGAAATTTAAGAAACGTCTGGACCACAGCAATCAACAGTTAGTTATAAAACAAAAAAGATGTTAAGTCTGTGCAAATCTCAGTTAAAAAGTATTCCATATAGTGAGCATATCCTGTGGAAAAATTAACAGAGAATCACCAGACCAACACCTAAATGTGAGGAGAAAATGGATTGAGAAGGTGAGTACATCCAAAAATTAACTCAAAGGTGACCATTGATGAGAAAAGCTTGATGTACATTTAACCAGATTGTGACTGGTACCATCAGTATTGGAACTCTGTGCTAGTTGCTAAAGATGAGGACTGAGCACGCATGGGAATGCCCTGAGTGCTGTGATGTCATCAGCTCAACTCAACTCAGCTGATGAGAGAAGCCAAAAGTGCTTGACTGGATTTCCATCCATGATCCTGAAACAGTTGCACAGCAAAGAAACGAATGGAAGAATAGACTGTGAGCGTTATGTGACATAATCAGTACAAAAGGATCTTCTTCTATTTTCTTATCATTCACCGTCTTTAAACTCCTGATAAAAATTCTGGTAGTTCACTCACTAATGGACTTTAGTCTTGTTTCGGAACTCAAGTTTTATATGCACATTCTTTATATGCAGATTGTTGATTCCATGCCTCATGGGCAGATGCACTGTGACTTCAAAGAAAAAGCCCTTAATAAGTCACTTCTTGCAACTTGCTTGTTAGGGAAGCAGTGGATATTTTCTTTTTCTTCCAAAAATGGGGCATCAGACTCAAACACGGACAAAAGGTTAATGATGATGATGTATTGTCTGGTACTGATGGATGTAAACACTTTTATTGTATGCTCTCTGTAGGTGATGACCCAAGGCAAAGTAATATCAACAGGTCAAATTTCATACAACCAATCCACAAGCTACCCTGGCAGAGACCAGATACTTCCTCCTTCCAACATTTGTTTACATGACAAAGAAGCTACACCTGAATCAACTACTACTTCTGAAAATTCACCTGCTGGCTCTGATGAAACAAGCACCCTAACCCAACAAACTGATGGTGGGAATGTGGAGTCTGAAGATACTTCCCCGTCTTCAAATCGCCATCCTCGAAGTCTTATCAGTGACAGTGAGACAGAAGGTAATAATCAGTTTTCATATTTCATTAGAGCAGATGTTGAATTTAAAATTGTGAAAGTCCCCAGATGGGTTCCGTCCCCAGATGGGTTCTGAGATCCCATTATAGGACTAGCGACCATTATTGCAAGGAGAGCCATATTTTCAAAAGCAAACATTTACACACATACTCACACACACAAGCACATATATAACATATTGTCAATAATATATAGTGCAAATTTTTTGTTTTCCAGTGGAAGATCCTTTTGATGGAGAAGCAGAATTTAAAGATCCTATCGTCAGATCAGACAATATATCCGATGTGGTGGCTAACTTTTTGCTAGATTTGCCAGTTAAGCCGATGATGTCTCCTAAATTCACCCTTCTGGTGTACTACATCAGGCCTGATGGAGAGGTTGTGGCTGACAGTATGCAGTTTCAGATTAACCCATGCTTTGAGAATGAGGTAGGAATTACAGTCTCACGTGCATAACATTTGGTCAGATACTGTCTTCTTCTTCTTCTTTACATTCACCAGTTGTAAACTCTGGCAGTAAGTTGTAGTTTTTTTTTGTCCACTTCTTGACTTTAGTCTTGTTTCAGAACTTGAGTTTTACATGCACATCCATTTGACAAATCTTGCTTATTTGTATGCAGACTGTTGGTTCTTCACTTCTCAGACAGTTGCACTATGACTTTCAAGGAAACACTTTACTGGGTACTTTGAGCATGGAGACACTGAGTCGGCTGCTGCATACATTGGAGGATCCACCATAAATAGGCCAGATCAATGTGTCAGGATATTGATATGGATAACAAGTATTATACTTGGAAAAGAGTTTGCGAATGTTTTTAATTGGTTACTTTTTTTTGGTTGGTTTTCTCCCTTGCCTGCACATACATAATGCAGTGAATTTGATAACAGTGAAATGTACATATTAATTACCAGTATGGATGCAAAGAAAAATTAATAAAAATTCCATGTATGTAAACTTGTAAACACTTATTTTTACATTTCACACTCTGATCCTTGATTATACATGTGGTGCCTTGTCAATGTGCTTCAGTGTGTATGTATCACTACAGCCTTCTACCTTCTTTGGGGTCAACCATTTCTGATGTAAAGTTCCTTCACTAATACTAAACTGTCTAGCAAATATCTTTTCCCGGGTATCTCTATGCTTTAGTTGGCCTCCAACTTTCTTGCAATGACGGACTCCATTTTCCCCCTGATAATGTGCCTGAAGAATATGGTCTGTCTTCTCATGCCAGTAGCTAGCTGTATTTTGCAGTTAATGTCTTTGAGACATTTTCATTACACTTGTTATCTGTATATAAACCACATCTGAAGGTACACACAACTAAAAATGTTCTTTTTTAAGAACGAAAAAAAGATGTGTAAATGAAAAATTGTAGCATTAAACTGAATAACAGAAAATATATAAATATATACAATGTATACTATAATTCTCTGTGGCTAAGTCGATGCGAATGCTTTGTAATACCGGGGTGCCGGGTTCGATCCCAGCTGCAGGCCATGCGCTTTGTGTTGGTTTTGACAGTAGTATCAGGGAGCCGACCATCCAGGAGCAATGGCAAACTACTAGATGTAAATTTGCCTAGAGAAACCAGACAACAGCCAAGGGCTGCTGGGGTTGGTTCTGCAACGTCCTGTAAAGGATACGCAGCTAACCTAATACTAAAATTACTTATCAGAATACGCATATTGGGAAGTGATTTATCTGTTTTATTACAGGTAGCAATGGAATTTAACAAAACCACAGTGTTACCTGGAGAAAATATTGACATCAACCTGACAGCTTCACCAGGTTCAGTCTGTGCCATAGGGGTTGTGGACAGGAGTGTGAACATCTTGGGTGGGAAACACCAGATAACTGCAGAAAAGGTCAGTTGTGTTGTTCTTCTTCTGCGTTCATCCGAAGATGTCATTTTGTTGTGTCTGTTTACAGCATGGCTGCAATATCTGCACCTTTTGGTCAACACATCCGACTTTTGTGGGCATTTGTTGACCGGGTTAGCCTTCCCAGTTGTTCTGTTTACAGCATGGCTGTATCTGCACCTTTTGGTCATCCGACTTTTGTGGGCATTGTTGACCGAGCCTTCCCATTAGTTGTGTCTGTTTACAGCATGGCTGCGATATCTGCACCTTTTGGTCAACACATCCGACTTTTGCGGGCATTTGTTGACCGGGTTAGCCTTCCCATTAGTTGTGTCTGTTTACAGCATGGCTGCGATATCTGCACCTTTTGGTCAACACATCCGACTTTTGCGGGCATTTGTTGACCGGGTTAGCCTTCCCATTAGTTGTGTCTGTTTACAGCATGTGCGATATCTGCACCTTTTGGTCAACACATCCGACTTTTGCGGGCATTTTTGTTGACCGGGTTAGCCTTCCCATTAGATGCGTATCTGCACCTTTTGGTCAACACATCCGACTTTTGCGGGCATTTGTTGACCGGGTTAGCCTTCCCATTAGTTGTGTCTGTTTACTTGCGATATCTGCGGTTCATCGAAGGGGACCGGGTAATTTGTGTTTACAGTGTATCTGCACCTTTTGGTCAACACCATCCGACTTTTGCATTTGGCCGGGTTAGCCTTCCCATTATTGTGTCTCTGCGATATCTTTTGGTCAACACATCCGACTTTTGCGGGCATTTGTTGACCGGTTAGCCTTCCCATTAGTTGTGTCTGTTTACAGATGGCTGCGATATCTGCACCTTTTGGTCAACACATCCGACTTTTGCGGGCATTTGTTGACCGGGTTAGCCTTCCCATTTCTGTTTACCCCATGGTGCGATATCTGCACCTTTTGGTCAACACATCCGACTTTTGTGGGCATTTGTTGACCGGGTTAGCCTTCCCATTAGTTTTGTTGTTTTCCCTGTTTTCTCTTTATGTAAACTAATTAACTGGGGGAAGGGGAGGGGGTGTGGGGGGGGGGGGGGACCTTTATACAGTATAGGATTTGCATAATTTCTGTTTTGCTGTTCATTGTTAAAACATCAACTCTAACTGTGACTATTTTTCTTTCAGTGTCATTAAATCTCTATATCTGTATATGGGTATGTGTATGTTTATACATGCATGTGTGTGTGTGTGTAAAGTGTAAAGAGAAGGAGGAGGAGAAAGGAGATCATCAAAAGTTAGAATGCAAAGTTTTTTCTTTTAATTATTATTAGTGAAGATCAGTTCAGCCACACACACACAAAAACGCAGCACACCAAGCATACAGAAGGAGACTAGTTAATCAACAATGTACGTAGATAATCAACAATGTACATAGTTAATCAACAATGTACGTAGTTAATCAACAATGTACTTAGTTAATCAACAATGTACGTAGTTAATCAACAATGTATGTAGTTAATCAACAATGTACGTAGATAATCAACAATGTACGTAGTTAATCAACAATGTACGTAGTTAATCAACAATGTATGTACATAAGTAAAGCAGTACAGTAAAATCACTCTTCGCTGACAGTTTTATTACAGAGGAAGTATTTAAATCACCATTGGATCCTTTTGATTTTCAGTACCCAAATCAGAACCGAAATGAATGTTACTTAACATGAACTGCACTAATTTTTAACTTCATGTATTTTCGTTCCCAGTTATTTTAATAGAATTGTATTTTCACAATATATATATATATATATATATATATATATATGATATTTTTTTTAATTGTTTTGCAGGTATTTAGAAAGATTGGAGAGCTTAACGCTGACCAGTTTGTCGAAGCTGCCTTTTTATTTCCAAGAGATAACTATTGTGAGCAGCGTGCACGCAAGTTTGGCGGTGTGTATTGATTTCTCCATGCACCATATGTTTGTTTAGAGCAAGAAATAAAATCAGGGCATGGGTTAATAGCATACAGATTTCTGTATACTCAAATTACATTTTTTGGAAATAGATTGACATAGGAGTTAGTCCCCTTGTAGTTATGGAGATAGAAAATAACAAATTCATAGATTTGTTTTCAAACCTTGGGTAAGTTAAGACTTTAGATTATGCCTGTAGTGCTGTGATAGAGTCTTCACTAATCTCTTGTCATTAATTATTAGGAGAATGGGGCATATAGATCTAGCTTAAAACATGTTTAATAGTCAATAGATGTTCTATGAGGGATATGGTTATTATCAAATTGCCACCTTAACTTCCTGTTCTTCTTCTTCTTCTTTGCATTTGGTTTAAAATACTCAGATCAGATCATCAGGTGTGTTGCCTCTATGAACTCGCATGACAGAAGCAGGTCCTTCATGGTTCCCCATAGTTTGCTCTGCATACTTTGCTCTTGAGGCCATTACTTCTTAAAAAATTTCATGGTCGCCATTTTAGATTGGGTTGAGTGAGAGCCTAAATCAATTTGAAGAATTCACTTCAGTGAGAACCTGGAAACATGACCACTTGGTCAACAGGCACATAATTAAGATTTGCTTCTTCTTCTCCTCCTACTCCTCCACCTCCACTTCCTTGTCCTTCTTTTTTTTGTCTCCACCTCTGCCTCCTTTTTCCTCTTTTCCGCCTTCACTTTTACATCCTTCTCCTTTGCCTCCCCCTCCTTCTACTGCATTCTTCAAATGGAACATAGAGCATCAATCAACCCTATTCCTTTGCTGTCACATGCAGCTAACCCTTTCTCACCTTTTTAACTTCACTCTCTGATTCCCTTCTCTGAATGGCTTTTAGTCTGCCTTTATTTCTTTGACCCTGGGGATTCCAATGCAATGCCATTCTGGTTATACTTGTATAAGGTTTTCTCAGTGTGTGACTAAGATAGTATTCAATGTTTCATCCCTAGTGTTTATATGCTGCTGTTTTCCAGCTAGCATGGTTCATTGTATCAGTCCAGCTTCATACAAAATAGTGGCGGATAATTATTATAATTTTCTATGAATTGTTTTAGGAAGATAAACCTGTGAGACAGTGAAAAGGCAACTGCACTCATGGTTTGAAGTATCTGAAGGCCTAATACATTATCATCATTACCACCATGTAACACTCATGTCCTTGGGTCACCAGTTGAAGCATTTGGCTATCCCAATAGAAATCAACAGACCATCTATAAGTGCAATCATTATACCCTCCTTGAGCTATCAATGTCAGACTTGGACATTGACTAAAGAAGGCGAACGAAAACTGACCGCCTGTGAAATGAGATATTTAAGCAAGGCTATGAAAAAACTAGAAGAGATCATGTGAGAAATGAAGAAAAATTACAAGACCAATTGGAACAAAACCTATAATTAAATTCTTTGAAAAACAAAGACTAAAATGGTTTGGCCATTTAATGAGAAATTTCAAATGATGCCTGTAACGAGACCATACAACATGAAAGTAGAAACACCAAGAGGTAGAGGATGACAGAGAAGAAGATAGACTGAAGGGGTCACTGATATCTTGAGATTCAACATAATCACACCATACTTTGTAAACGAGCATGTTGTAGCTCTGATACTGATTGTCTGTTAACTTGTGATGCCTAGTGGCACAAAACAGAATATGGATGAAAGAAAGAAAGTAGTGGCTTTATTTATCTTCTGTTTCTTTTCAGTATTTTAACTTTAACTTTATAACCAGCATTTGGTCTACCTCATTACCTACTCAAATTTAACTTTCTTGCGTATATAGTTTTTTTTTAAAATCCACCATTCAATGTATTTGCTCTAACCATGTGAGTCTGTTAGTCCACACGATACCAATAATTGGCATTATTTATTATAATCAGTCATATCATATGCAGAGGTGATTTACAAATAGGTAGAAGATATTAAGGTAAGCTCCTATAGCAGTGTAAAGTGGGGCAAAAATGATACAGGTATTGAGGTAGATTCATAGGAGAGAATGCCATGGACCAATTTGCAGGGAGGAGTAAAATCAGAAAAGGATAAGGGAGAAAGTATTGTAGATAGGTTAACAGCTGAACATTTTTTTAAAAGCATGTTAAATAAAGATCGGGTAAGTTAACTGCAGTTCCAACATCACAGCAAACAGATTACCCTATTGTCACTGCTTGAGGTGCCAGTGAAAAACCACACAGAATGCCCAACACTGTCCTTTGTAAAATAAAATTGATGCAGAAGGCAGTTTCAGCAGAGAAAATAGCATGCATAGCATTGAAAACATAAAGCAGTCGCTAGAAGTGCCAACACAAACTGCACGCCACTAGAAGTGCAACTCATCGTTGGATGGAAGCAGCAGTTACAGCAAATCAGCAATTTCACAAGCAATTAGTTGCATAATGGACTACCAGTTCTCTAATAACATGCCACTGAATCAGAAGTTTTCCAAACAAACTATGATGAGCAACAGAAAAACACATTTCAAATTAAATCTGTATATCACAGTATAGCATTATACACTTTGTAGCAGGGAGATGCCAACAGGTATGTTTCATGCAGAGTGGCAAGAATCACTTCAGAAGTCCCGGGTCTTTGGGAGGTCCCTGGTAGTTAGCGTCATTTTGATATTTTATCCAGGTCACGCCGGTATGTTGGGAAATAAGCAGACAGTTAGACTGACCAGTTCTGCACCACTTGGTGGTGAACTGATGTGTAACAAGCTAGATTTTGTGAGAAGCCTTTGGGAGCAAGGGAACAGTGCATAGACAGATCATTATGATCTGAGGAGAATGGCACTGCAAGGAGCACTTATGGGTGTGTGCCGAGTGCTGTAATATTGATTTTTAATTCAACATTTAACATTCCCGATAGCTCTGTACACTAATGTCATCAGGAAAGATGGAAAAGTGCCATTCACTCATGAACTGCAGATTAATTTAAGGCTAATTATCAATTTTAATTAACAGTGACTCAAGAAAGCTATCGATCCTATACATCACCTTTTGTGGATGCAATGCAAGCTTTCAAGGTACAGTGACATTTAACTTTATTATTCTTCATTATTTCATTATAAAGTAAATAACACATCAAGTCACTGTCATTCAACTTCTTCTTCTTCTTCACTTCGCCCTTGTACCTCAGTGAAATGGGAGTCACCGTGGCCGAGCGGCTAGACGCTGGCCGCGGATTGGAAGGTCGTGGGTTCGCTCCCTGGCGGAGCTGGACTTTTTTAAAAAATGACCTTGGCTCCCAGGTATACCCAGCATTGAGTAAGTACCGGGTGCATTCCCTGGAAGTAAAGGCAACTGATGTGATGCTGACCACATCACCCATCTTGTGCCGACTGGTCTATAAAAATATAGGTCTAGCCCTATATGCCCTATACGCCTAAAGGCGTGAAAGGGTCCTTTACTTACTTTACTTACCTCAGTGAAGTGTCGGGGGGAGATGTAATGTCATTGATGAGCTCTGACAAGAGCATTATTAAGACTGATGTTCATAGTCACTGTCATTGGAGGCTAGAAATATAATTCTTGCATGTTACAGAGAACAAGTTTACCCTATTGTTGTAAATCCTGGACAGTTAGGAAACAAATAAAATAATTTATGTTATATTTCAACAGATTGTTTTTTTATGTCATTACAATTAATGATTACGTGAAATTATATCAAAATGTTGTCTCTGATTTCTAAGAAAATGCAAAGAATACCATTACTTAACACAGTCAAGGTTGTATGATGTTAACACTTTCAGTACCAGACAATGGTTACCTTACTGAAATAGGAACACAGATCTGATCTGTTACTCTGGTGATCATGTGAGACTGCATACCATGACAGTTAATACTTTTTTTTTTAGCACGGCACATAATAGGATGTTGATCATGTTTAGCATGTAATTAAAATGTACATTCAATGAGATGGAAATAATACCAAAAAATGCCATTTTCGTTTTGCAGAGTTCTGGATTCCTGGTTCTCAGTAACTTAAACTTAGAAACACGACCCTGTACAACTGAAGCTGTTGTCATGTATGGTAAGTGCAATAAGAAAAATACTGTTAACTGTGCTATAATTCAATCAATTCTCTACTCCTATTTTTCTGGGAACAGCAAATATTTTTAAATATGGCCTAAATACTGCCTTTCTTTGAATGATAAACATTTTGTGCCAGTGTAAGTTACACACACATACACACACAAAAAAACATGTTTTGGGATGGTATAGAATGCCTGTAGTACTATGTGTGTGTTTGTTATGAATTAATGACCCTGAATACAATGGTTAGAAAATAACCAAAGACCATAAACATATTATATATTACTCCTTTAATTTATTTAGTACCAGGCAGTTACCAGTTACCACTTTAAACTCATTCTAAACTATGAACTAACTACTTTTTGTAATCATTCTTTGGTCTTAGTAAGTTAAATAAACTTATTAAAGGACAGAAGCAGTTAAAGTAACAGTTATAACAGAGAAGGCGAGTTTAACAGCTAATGGAACTCAAAGAGTTTTTTTTTTAAATGTATGGCTAAGAATGTAAGTGAAAGCTAAATGGGACACATGAAGTTCAGAAAAAGTGTAGCAGAGAAGGTGAGTGTAACAAACTAAAACAGAGAAGGTGAGTGAGTGCAACAAAAAAATGGAATGCAAGGTGTTCAGAAAAATGTTAATGCTTTGTGTGATACTCTCAGCAGGCACCTGGACATTGTGCAGAAAGAGATCAAATAATATGGTATACACTGGTGCATTATTAAAGTAGATCCTCTTGACTTGAACTTTAAGGTGTATATTTGAACTTTGTATATTTACAGCTAGTGCTGCAGAATCAGTTCAACAAATGATTCATGACAGTTCTCACCCAGGTGGTGGGATTATCTATATAAATGGCTCTGTGTTGAGAGGCAGATGAAGTGCATTGGGGTTCATAGCAAACGCTAATGGATGTCGTTTAGTTTAAAAAAGCCTAGCATATGATATTACACCATCTAGTTTGAGAATGGAGGTGGAAGCAGTCACTGCTCCTTCCGCTAGCTTTCCAGCTGTACACACATGTTGTAATTGTAACTGACTCATAGAGCATGTTGAGAAAGGTGAAGACAGGCATGCTCCATGAAGAATGGCAGGCATCTCTTCAGAGGTCAGAGGTAGTAAGCGTCCTTTGGATGTTTTCTCCAGGTGATGTGGTTGGTGTTGGGAAATGAGCAGGCAGATAGACTGGCTGGTTCTGCACCACTTGGTGGTGAATTGAGAGTATGGCAAGCTAATGTTGTCAAGACCCTTTGGGATGTAGTGAACAGTACAGAGGCATAGATAGATTGTTACAATCTGAGGAGAATGGCGCTGCAGGAAATTATTAGGGGATGTCGCCAACAATCAACACTCAAGGGAGAGGCTACACGGATATACAGTCAGTCATTTACTGGTACCATTGGAATTGGAACTCCTCACTTGCTGTTGAAGATGGGGATTTAGCATTCATGGGCGTGCCCCATGTGCTGTGATGTTGATTCTCAATTCAGCATTCAACATTCAACATTCTTGAAGTAAAATACTCGTACATCACCTTAGACCTAAACGATGTGGTTCCACTGAAAGAATGCTGATTTCTTTGACTTCCAAAATGAATAATCTTTTGAAAGAAAAAAAAACACAAAGACATGTTACAAACATCAAAAAGAGGCAGTTGTCAACATCTGGCCAAATTGACAACAACTTGAGTTTGGTTTGACATGTGAAAAAAGATACAAAGGAAGGCAGTGAGTAATATTCTTGACCTTCTTCTGTCATGGCATGGAAGTGTTTTCGGAACACATCTTGATACATGCTGTTGACCATTGTAAGATACAGAGAAGATGATAGCCTATGCCAGTTGGCAAGGCCCTTGGTAGGATATAATATGATGTATGTTTGTCACCCTGTAAACACTATCCACTTTTCAATGTTGTTCTTCTTCATCACAGAAAGGAGTTAGATGTAGTTTCCTGTCTTTTGCTAGTTATGCAGCTTGTGTTAATGTCATATTGTGTTTCTGAAGTCTTTCTTGTACTCTATTCACCCCTCTCTTACTTGGTCGGCCTCTTGGTTTGTAGTCTACTGTTCTTATGTAGTACTCTCTAACTGCTGGCTGATTTTGTGCCATTCTGAGCAATTAACTAAACCATTTGAGTCTTTGATATTTTTTGAAATCATTTTCCAGTGCTGTACCTACCGTTGTTCTCAGTTCTTTTTTTTTTTACTGTTGCATTTCTAATACATTTCCTCTCACATATATTTTTGTGTTTATGTTTTCTTGGATTGTCCCTGTCTTACATTGATAGCACAAAACTGATACAAATAGGTCATTTATCACCTGGTTTTTCTGTGTGTGTGTACTTTTTGATATTTTGCTGCTTTAAAAGTGGGTATATTTTAGTAATTTATGTTGCTGGCCTTCTGTATTCTGTTTTCCCTTTCTCTGTCCAATCTGCCATCCTCGGTGAGAAAATACTGCCTCATCGTCATCATCATCATCAATTTCCACTTCTGCCATTAAGAGTTGTGGGTAGGAACAGTTTGCGATCCATTGCTTGATGGGCAGCAATGGCTATTGTCATTTCATATCGATGTAGAGGCTCTTTAATGTCATCAATCCATATTCTCCTAGGGCAGCCTCTTGCTTTCACTTTTGATCTTTTTAAGTGTAGGGTCTGCTTTGTAGTTGTTCTGGCTGCATTCTTACTAAATGACCAAATTTTTTCATCTTCTATTCCTCAATGAATTTGCTGCATATTGTTTTTCCTACATTCTGTCTGATAATATAATTTCTTACTCTCTCTTGGATTGTTAAGTTGGCGGCTTTCCTCTGGCATCTTATTTCACAGGTGTCAATTTTACGTAGGTTAGCCTTTGATAATGTCCATGTCTGGTACTGGTAGTTCAATGTTGGTATGAATATGCTGTTTATAATCTGTTTCTTGGCGCTCATATGTTTGTTTGGATGTCTTAATAATGGTGTCAGTATATATTTGCACTGGCTTATTAGCTATTTTCTGATCTATTCTTCCATCTTCTGAGAATATACTTCCTAGATATTTAAATTCCTAGGTTCTTTTGGTATTTTATCTGTGTATATAGTAAATAAGAGAGGACATAGCATTCATCCCTGCCTCACCCCTGTGTTGATTGTAAACATATCAGACATGCCTTCTTCAAACACTGCCTAGTTACTTAAATTCCTTAACTTGTTTTAATGTCTCCCTTCAACAATGATGACATGTTAAACTAGGGTTTTACTGTCATTATTTCTAAGGGTTTTTCCAGTATTTATTGTCATATTATATGAAAGGTGTTGAGTCTGTTAACTCTTTTAGTCCCATGGGGGTTTAGCATTACAGGCCCAAGGGGTAGTCAAGAGAGATGTAAAATTGGCACATCTTGCATGCATTGGGCTTTTATAGAGAAGCCTAAGAATGTATGATGCATTCCTTGGGACTGAAAGTGTTAATGTGGTGTTGGTGGTTACAGTAATTGTTATTGTTATTTATCCTAAATCTCCTTAACCTTCGGGGGTCACGTTAGCACAGTTGATAGGAGACTTGATTTCAAATCCAGCTGCGACTCGCTGCAGCCCACGGTCGGTGTTCGAAACCAGGTGGTTCCCGAGGTTCCCCCAGCCTCTAGGGGTAAATGTAGGAGCATCGTCTTTTACCTTAACCTTCTTAGCCTCCCTTATCCTCACCCAACTGCTGCCACCTTCTACTGTTCATTTTTTTTTTTCAACAGCCTTTTCTGTTCCAAGTTTTAACATATCCATTCTATTTCTTTCTCCACAAGACTAACTGTTTTATATTTTTGTTGTTTTATTTACTTATAGAGACTTCAGGTGAAATGTTTATGTCAAAGTCATTTATGTTTTATTTCACAACAGCTCTTCCTGTTCCCACTTACCAAATTTCTGTTGTATTTATTTCTCATTGTAACTTCTCATTAGGGTCTAGGGCTTAGGATTCTTCTTCTTGTTCTTATAGTCATTGATAAAGACTTCAGTTTAACTCTTTGAGTCCCAAGGAACGCGTCATGCGTTCATAGATTCCTACCTAGAAGCTTAATGAACGCAAGATGTGCCGATTTTCATCTTTCTCGACTACCCCTTGGGACTGTGGTGCTTAACCCCCTGGGACTCAAAGAGTTAAATGTTTGGTTGTATCTATGTGTTACCTGTTTCTCCACTCATTGAGCTTTCCATGCATATTTTTAGTATGGTCAATTCATTTCTTGTTTTATTTTTTTTACTTGCAATTTTATTGTTATTGTCATTTTCCCTAAATCTCCTTGTGTGCCTCTACACAACTGCTTTCACCTTTTACTGCAGGACTAAGTTTAGTAAAGATTTTAACAGTTATAAATTCATATTAAGGTATTTATGTAACATTCTGATCTTAGCTAGAGGAGATCTAATAGAGAGAAAAAAGGCAGTCATGTCTGGTCTTGATCCTATTCCTCTTGCGGTTCCTGTAAAACGTCAGATGGTACAAGTTAAAGAAGGTTTTGGAATGAAACATTTACCCAAAAAAGCAGTCCGCAGTCATTTTCCAGAAACATGGCTGTGGAATTTGAATGCAGTTGGGTATGTTGTATCATAATACACATATTTGAAATTATGATACTGATTGATCTAGAAAATATGAAATGAAATGTCTGCATCCAAAACATTTGTCATTGTTCACATAACAAAATTAACATTCTTGTATATTTGTGTGTGGGGATACATACATATATATATATATATATATATATATATATATATATATATATATATATATATATATATATATATATATATATATATATATATATATATATATATATATATATATGACACTTTAAGACTAATATATAAGTAGAAACAAACAAAAAACAATAGCAAGTAAGTAGTAAGTTAAATTTTTAGCAATTTAAACTCTTTGAGTCCCAGAGGGTTTAGCATCACAGGCCCAAGGGGTAGTCAAAAGAGACTAAAATCGGTGCATCATGTGTTCATTGGGCTTCTAGGCAGTAACCTATGAACGTATGATGCAATCCTTGGGACTCTAAGAGTTAGGACTGTAAATTGCATTTAAAATAAGCAGTTTTTTTTTTAAATTGCTGGTAGATATAATTTTAGCAGCTCAAATTATTCAGTCACAACTATGACTGATATTTTCATCCTGAAAAAGCACAGAAGTCACAGTTTAACATATGTTAACAATGGCAATGAGTTTTGCTAATGTTCAAAATTTCTGCACTTCTTTTCATGCTATAACTTAAAAATAAAATAAAAAGAGAGAATTTTTTTAAAGTAATGCTAAAATAAAGGATCAGTGCAACAGAAATATATAAAACATATTGTTTTTCTCTGTATATAAAATCATTTTAATTTAAGCAGAAATTTTTGCACATTTGAAAACATTGCTATCTTCAGTTAATAGCATGAAATTTACCATTAATAACTGTAACAATATTTTATCAAAACTACTAACAGATGTTGCTATGGAACATGAGTTTATGATGCCTGGACCAGAGCTTGTGAATGCAGTCCCTATAACAAGTGTCCCTCGTTCACCCCAGACTAGTGTTCGCTCACATTTCCCTGAAACCTGGCTCTGGGATCTTCATATTGTTGGGTAGGTGTCATTAGTAATGTTAGTCAGAATTAACCCTAGAGATTTATTTATAATGGAAAATGACATCTATGGCATTGATTGATCTTAGAATTTAATTATAAGCGGTCTTTCCTACCATCACTCTGCTCCGAAAGACAAACATGGTGTTTGTCTAAGTCACAAGAGAACTACAGGGTAAGATTAAACAATATGTGACAATGAAAAAAAAAATATATTTTTTATATTTTACAAATATTCCTTTATTAACCTATTGCATCTTTTATGTTAATATCCTTCAGGTGGGTTCCAGGGCCCATTATAGGGGAAACAGAAATGACTTACGCCCCCTAACATGCATGTCCTACAAGTCAACTAATTAAGGTTGTTTATTTCAAAGTCATAGAAATAAGCCTGATCTGTAAAATAGATTAGCATGAAAGACTCGAGTTTTGAAACAAGACTAAATTTCCAGGAGTAGATAAACAACCAGAATTGTCCTCCCAAGTTTACAGCTGGGGAACACTGAGATGAAGTGCATAGTTATCTTTTATCTTTTATTCAAATATTGATTGATTCTTAACTCTTTATATACAGAAGAGTGCACCATGTGTTACTCGAAATTTCTCATGTGTATCGGTCTTGTCTTGTCTTGTCTTGTCTTGTCTTGTCCACAATTGCCTCACAGCGTAGTGGGGAGTCGCAGTTTTCTATCCTGGGCCAGGTGTGTTGCATGTGTTGTTGTTAGTCCGTGTTGCCTCAGGATCTCTGATATATTGTCTATCCATCGTACTCTCGGTCTGCCTCTTGCTCTAGGGCAGTAGTGTTGTTCGTTGTATGCTCGTAGAGGCAGTTGGTCGGTTTGCATTCGCATCAAGTGGCCAAACCACTCGATTTGTTGCTTCTTTATGTATTGCAGGCATGGTGTGGTTCCTACAATTGATCTAATGTTCTCGTTTCGAACTCTGTCTCTCCTTGTGACATTGGCAGCCTTACGTAAGCATCTCATTTCGCACGTCGTGATCTTTTTCTCCTGTGCTCTTGTTAGGGACCAGGTTTGGCATTGGTAGCAGAGGGTTGGTATAAATATGCAATTTATCAGTTGTCGTTTTAGTGCCATAGTGATGCTTGGGTGTTTTAGCAGTGGGGAGAGTTGGTAAGTTACTGCGTTCGCCTTTTGACATCTTGCCTCAAGTTTCCTATCAATTCTTCCATCATCTGTGAAGATGCTCCCCAAGTAATTAAATCGGTCAACATGTTAAATATGTTTGTACATCTTAATCTAATCATCATCAAGTTTCTTGCTGTCTGGCATAGTGTTCATGCCTTTCCCTAACCTCAAATATGAGAGTTTTATCAGCCCTAATAGGACTGGCACAAACTGTGGAATATTGATGTACATGTTGGAGAAATCTGAGCAGCTGTTGGACATTCTGGGGTGGCCTGAAGATGACCCAAATCATAACTCAATAACTTTCAAATACATGTGGCTGTTTGCTTGTCCCTAATAATGAACTAACCTCCTAGAAGTGACAAGAAAATGTCTCAGAAAATTAGCTTTAAGTGTGTGAGACTGGAGAAATACACTTTACAGTTATTTAATTAAGTAGAATCAACAACATCCATTTTAAAGAAATATTTAGCTAACTTGAATGTTGGAAAAAAGTAATTAGGGGGAAAAATATTGATCACAATGGAGCAGACTGAATAACAGGTGTGTGTATGGGAAAAGCATGACTTTAAAAAGTAAACTCTTTAGCAGTTTTTATATATAAATAACCATATTCTAAAACAAAATACATTTATCTGGCATGACATCTTTTATTCAGAAAAAAGAAAATGTATCTACCCATATAAACATTGTAAATCTGGCACAGGAGTGCTACATCAATATTGTGCAGGGCTACTGACATGTTCTGTTTACTAAATATTTTATGAAGTGTTATGTATCAGTAATGATTAACTCATTCCCTTGTATTACATATTGCATATATTCAGCATGCATTATAGATACGTCTGAGTAAGTAAGATTAGTTGTTGCTACCCCTCTAACCAGTAAGCTATTTTATTATGATGCGAATTGTTACTGGTACCATCAAAATTTTAACTCTTCGCTTGCTGCCGAAGCTGGAGATGGAGCGCTTATTGGGGTGTTTCAAATGCTGTGATGTTGATGCTTAATTCAGCATTAAACATTCAACATAATGAAGCAAAAGGGGGAAAGGCTGTCAGAGATCAAGTGAATCGTGCAACAGAACAGGGTTTCCATGTTCAGAGAGAAGGATTTAGCTGGGGTTGAGCAGAAGGTCTCAATGATTCTCTTCTTGCAGGAAAAAAACACACAAAAAACGAACTTCTAATCAGGTTGCAGCTGGCACCATCAGCGTAGAAACTCTTCATTGGCTTCAGAAGAGGGTGACGGATCATTACATGAATGTCACAATTGTAGGACAAAAATTCTTCATTCATTCAATCATTCATAAGTCTGTGTAAAATATAATTGTTATTTAAGTAAGTGAAACTGTGCTGAAGTTCATGCATTATTAAGACTTATTTTGTATATGATACTAGGACTATACTCATGATAAAAGAGCGTGAAAGCTGTTATGTAGTTAGAACTATACTGGGTGCCCATACTTTTCTTGTAAAATCTGGTACAAGTAATACAGCAAGATATCTGTAATGTATGCCAGAAATGTCCACAGATAAACTGGCTGTCACCCAAAAATAACAATAAATGATGAAGAAATTGAAAATGTCACAAACTTTGAATATCTAGGCTCAAAAATAAACAGCAATGGAGACTGTTCAACAGAAATTAAAAAGAGGATGGCCATAGCACAGCCTTAAAAGTCTATGGTTAAACACCAGCAAAGAGATAAAAATTCGAATTTTGAGAGCATGCATCTTCCCTGTGGCTACATACGGATGTGAGTCATGGACTATCTCTCAATCCTTAAGAAAAAGAATAGGGGCTTTTGAGCTGAAATGCTATAGAAAGATTCTCATAATATCTTGGACAAAGAAGAGGAGAAATATTGACTTTTTAAAAGATCTGAACATCAAGGAAGTTTGGCTAATAAACAGCATCGTTTCTCGGAAACTGAAATATTTTGGTCATATCAAGTGCCACAACAGATTGGAAAAAATTATAGCAGAAGGCATGGTACCAGGAAGGAGGAGCAGGGGCTGACCGACACGAAGATGGGCACAGGATATAAGTGACTCCTTTAGTATGAAAGTACATGAGGCGGGAGAACTGGCGAGAGACCGAGTTTCTTTCAGGCAGACTGTGATGAGAGCGACATTCTGCAAATGATGATGATGATTCCAGAAATACAATACTATAAAACCCTAATTGCAGGAGTGTAGGAAATATGAAAACTGAAGGAAACCATTAACACACAACATGAATCTGTGTAAAGTAACTATGACGATTGAAATCTTGCTTCACATAAACAGCCCCAAAGAGCAAGGTCAAAGAGTTTACTACTAGGACTAAAATCCTTATATAAAAGGGTAAAAAATACCCATGGCATCTGTGAAGAAGTTTCCCCTAAAGATAAAATCGAGAAGAATAATCAATAATGGAAACAATACATCCACCACATTAATGACACAATATTAGGAAAAATGTTCAACTATTCATAATACAGTTTCTATCATAATCTCAACCCAAATCAAAGCAAAATGTGAAACAATACAAATTACATTTTGGCCATTTAAATAATTACATGATACCTAAATTTAAAATAAAAAATATATACTCTGAGAACTCATTTAACACTATATATCCCAATTATAACCCTAGGGTTGAACAGAACATTTTTTTAAAAAATTACTGCTATTTCATTGCTTCAAGACCGCACTGGTTTCACATAATTTCTGTCATTTCTGGGATGAAGCTTTAGTCAGTTATGTTGGTAAGGTTGTGTGCCATCCCACAACATTTATACTATACAGTGTCTTTTGACAACCTGCATGATTTTACATCAAAATCCTATGTCTAAAAAGGGCAGATTCTACCAGAGAAACCCTATGAAGAACCTTGAAAAGTGTGTCTAGGGGTGCCAGACTGGATTTTGTACATGACATCCAAAGGACTGTACAAGATAGAACATAATGGACTATGTGGCATATAAACAGTACAACTTGATTATTCAGTATATGTTGGTGTGAGAAATGTAGATCTATTTAAATTTGTTATTTAGCAATTTTGCAACATATAATGAAACAGTTCTTTTTAAATAAGATCATTACATTTTGAAGTGTGCATAATACTGAAATAGTTTCTTTAATACTTTTCTAAAAACTTAGTGATTCAGGCGAAACTGTACTGACAGAAACAGCACCCCATACCATCACAGAATGGGTTGGTAATGCTATGTGCCTGGATCAGGAGAAAGGATTTGGCATTTCCAAGCTGACCAGTCTTACCACCTTCCAGCCATTCTTTCTGTCGCTGCACCTGCCATATGCTGCTGTTCGAGGGGAAAGACTGCCTATCATGTTCACAGTTTACAATTATCTGGAGAAATGCTTACATGTGAGGCTTATTTACAGAAGTTATCACAACATTTGTATTTCATTTTTTAAATCTCTTTCCATTATCTGTACTTTGATAATTATTTGTCTTCTGCATTTACCCTTTAAAGGGCAGTTGGAATGTTATGGTGTAGTTTATAGTGAGGCTTGATATCTATGCCTCTGAGCCCAACACATCTGATATCAGAAAAGCCTTAATTTTACACTTTTTTTGAACTGCTTGCTAAGGGACAGTAAATCTGCTCTCTTCCTTCCCCACCCCCACCTTCTTTTCCCTTTCCGTTTACTTATAATTTAAATTAAACACAGAGCAAAATTTACATAGTTTTTTATTTCTTCAAAAAATAATAGATCTGCAAAGCAGGGTTTTTATCCAGGAAAAAAGGTGCCAGTCTTCTTCTTTCTTTTGTCATCTTACTGATACCAGTTGTAGCCCTGTGCTATGGTTATCTGTACTCAACACAAAGTGACTATTATAGTAAAACCAGAAAAAAAGATGCGTAAAAGGTGCAGGTACTGTGTACTGTTGCTTGCTGTCTGAAAAAAACCTAGAGCCATTATATATTTATGAAGCTCTTGTTTGAATTGTAAAGATGTTCAAGATATGGTTGCTGCGGTTTGGGTAAACAAATAATTTTAAGGCAAATCCAGAATCATTTAGGTGCTGATTTTATCATGAAGGTTGGTTACAATAGATCTTTAATACTTTCTGTCTCTTGCTTTTGTTCGAGTTTTACCTAGAAGAATGACAACAGTACTTCACCTAGGCATATTGTACCAACCTCTAATCGAAGAGTGAAAGAATGTCAGACCTAGGCTTGAAATAGATAGCAGTCTGAGTGAGCAATCAGTGTAAATCACAGAAAGTGTTGGACAATTTTCATTGTGGACATGGCACCTGAATATTGGTCATTAATCTTCTTCTTCTTCTTTCTGTTTGTTTCGTTTAAAGCACATTTAAGTGTCTCTGATATTTCTGTGTTCCATCTTCTGCATGGTTGACCTCTGGCTCTGTTACTGCTGTATCTGTATAACATTGCTGTATGTGATCCTGTCTGATGCCAGTCTTGTTACATGACCAAACCATTTTATTTGTTCTCTTATGTATAAAGTTTAGTATTAGCTCTGTGCCGATTCTCCTCCTGATATAATCATTCCTAAGTCGATCTTTCCTTGTTACACCTAGCATAGTACCTAAACATTTGATTTCTGTCGATATTATTTTCCTTCTGTCTTCTGTAAACAGTGTCCATGTTTGGCATTGATAGTAAAGCATTGGTAAGAATATTGAACAGTGTTCTTTTAGTCTTCATATTCACATGCTTGCATTTCAAAATTGGTGCCATTTGGACTAAAACTTGACTGACTTTATTGCATCTTTGCTGAATTTCTTTATTAATTCTTCTATCTTCTGAAAAAATGCTCCTCAGATATGTAAATTCCTGTCCTTGCCCTAACTAGTGTTCATCAATTTTGATTGGTAGGCTTCCTTTTCTGGAGAATGTCATCACTTCTGTTTTGTCTACGTTGATCTTCAAATTATAGTTGTCGCATTCTGAGTGGAGTCTATTAATATGTTCTTATAGTGTACTTGATGTTGGTGCCATGACTGTCATCAGCACAAAGCAATTCCTTTAGTAATTCTCTAATGTTGTCCCCATTTCCTTGTGTAGCTGATTTGAAATTTGGTTGACCTACATGATGAACAGTAGTGGTGATAGAAAGCACTACGGTCTCACTACAGATCTAATGTAGAACTTTATTTATTTTTCATTCATTAATCATAGCTGGATAAATGCGTGTGCATAGTTCATCAAAATTTGAGTGGAAATTATCAGAGAATGAAATTTATGAATACTTTACAGTTAACAGTTATGAACATGCAGTTGCATTATCATCAGGCTTGGCTTGGCTTTTTTACCCCACCAGGACATCACACAAGCGATAAACACCCGATGACACAAAGTGCCACCATGCGGATGAGGATCACCGTGGAGAGGTCCCAGAAACCGCGTTCAGACATTTGGCCATAATGATGACCTGCCTATATTGCGGCCCCTGGCAAAAGCCAGAGTGGGGCTTCAAATAACAAAAAATTACGTCCTAAAAAGGACGTAATGATTGAATACAACGCTTATATTAATTATCATCAGTGTTTTGAATACAAATTCTGCAAATTTTATTTTTACTAAAACTTGATGCATGTATTATATTTGAAACAAGAATTTATATTATTAAATATTGGATGCTAAGATATATGCTGTATATTGCAGATTCAGCTGACTTTGGATTTGGAAAAGAACTTCAAAATTCACAACTACAAACAAAATCAAGAGCCTGTCTGTGTTTGTGGTGGTAGTTCTCACACTGCTAAATTCTATGCTACAGCAAATGAAATAGGTAGTCTGCCAGTATTTGCCAAGGTAAGCAACTCCTCTTTTGTAAAGTTGAATGTTAGATTAAGAATCGACATAGATTTCACCCCCATTAGCTCTCCATCCCCATCTTCAGCAGCAAGATTACAGTCGACTACTGATATTTTGAAGGCACCAAGCTAACTTTCTGCACACAAATAAACCAGTAAGATGAATGTAAATGCAAAACTCTAGCCCTGGCACCCAGCCAAAGTCCATATTTATAAACAACCAGGACCTTCTGCCGGAGCATACAGCCAGTGAAAAATGGAGAAGAAGAAGATTTAGCTTTGTTTGTGGATTGATAAAGAAGATCTGTGAAGAGTACAAATGATAGTAGTCAGCCACACAATAATCTTCTATTACTGATTGTATTTACCACTTTTATGGTGTAGGCAGGGTATTACTGATTTTATTTACTACTTTTATTGTGTAGGCAGGGGATTTCTGATTGTATTTACCACTTTTATGGTGTAGGCAGGGTATTACTGATTTTATTTACTACTTTTATTGTGTAGGCAGGGGATTTCTGATTGTATTTACCACTTTCATGGAATGTATGGCTATTGCTGTTGCCACTGTTCAGATTAGGATTTTATTTTCACCCCCGACAGAAAAATCGCCAACCTTACTGAGGATTTGAACCCAAGTCACCTGCATGAGAGCTCATAGTTCTTAACCATTCAGCCAGCCACTTGTCATTATAAGCAGCATTCTTTTGAAATATCAGTTTACTATTCTCACACGAGTGACAGGAGGTGACATCTTGAATATTTGATTCGAAGCATTGTTGCAGCATCATCCAAAGCCAAAGCTTGGTCATCATGTTTAGGCTGTAGTCATAGATGATAACATTTTGAAAATGTGACAGTAGGAAAAATTTATAATAAGAGAGAGGAAGACAACAAAGGCAGTTTCCTGAAACTTTGTCATTGGATATAGGTGGAGGGTGTAAAAGAGACATGGAAACAGAAATGAAATGTGACAGTAACGCAAGCTACTCAACTTGCAAAAAAACAGAAAACTACATGCAACTCCTCTCTGCAACACTTTACAGCATAAGCAGAAGGTCAAATGAAGAAGTCACTGGAGGGAAAAGTGCCAGTGCAACGGTTGATATATTTACTGAAGGTAAAAATATGTGGAGAAACATGATCACTCATAACAGCTGACAAAGGAATTTGATGGTAATCATACTGAATTGTTTTCTTAGGCTGAAATTATTCCCGGCTTGTGCGGAAACACAATAGATGTTGACACCACATATGTAGGACTTTCAGATGCTGTGAAACGTCAAGTTTTTGTAAAGGTAAGACCCTTCTTTTTTCTTTTCGTTATTTATTCAAGTTTCTTGTGCATGCAAGTATTTTCTGCCTTTACAAGATAGTGGCTTCGGGAAGAATTTTTTGTTTGTTTTTCTAACTTGACAAATAATGTATCCAAATATATTAAACTGTCATCATCATCATCATCATCAGGTGCCTTGTTGATTAGCATGGGCGATCATGCCTCTCCACAACCCACAATTAAACTGTATCTTTGTAAAAAAAATGTGCATGCCATTATTTACATTGGGGGGTAAAGTGGTGAGGTGATCGATTTTATTTGTTTTTAATTAAATCATTGTGATAAGAATTTATGTATGAATTTCCAGACTAAATGATAAGGGAAAAAGTCTAGAACCATCTATGCTACTGCTGTTATTGATGAATCTGAGAAAAATAGTGTCAGTAATCTTGATATTACAATTAATAATACAAGTACACAACCTATTGTCAATGATATGGGTAAGGATCAAGCTGAACTAAATATTTCAACTGGATCATCCCTCTTTCAATCAGCTGTGTCCGGAATTATATTGTAGTGAAATATGACATATCACACAAAAATGGTCATATAATCCAAAGTAGATTAATTTTAAATAAAGACCAGCTAATGCATAATTGAATAGAAAAGGCATGTGAATTCTTAGAAATGGATAGTAGTGTTATTGAACAAGTTAAAAAGTTAGGAAGCACAACTTTTCATTTGTAACAAAAATGTTCAAATGTATCTTTCATCCTTGAATGCTGTGTCATTTTAATTTTTTGTTGTTGTAAAACTTATCTTTAAATACTTTAGATATGTTCTGTATTCATTTCTCTTTATTTGATATATGTCTGTCACTATACAGCCAAAACGTTTTCTTCACGAATGTTTTAGCTTTGACATGTTGTAGTAAAAAAAAAACAGCTTAAAATAATGCTGTCCAAAGCTCAGAAAAATGTCCTGAATGAGTTAATCAAATATATAGAAAAAAGCATTAAGTTATTTCATGTTTTGAAAATATTATACAATAATAAAGCTTTTTTATGCCACCTTAACTCTTTGATTCCCAAGGAACACATCATACGTTCATAGGTTCCTACCTAGAAGCCCAATGAACGCATGATGCACCGATTTTATAACTTTCTTTACTACCCCCTGGGCCTGTGAAGCTAAACCCCCGGGACTCAAAGAGTTAAGTGGTTTCTATAGCATTTTTGTGTTTTGTGTAAAATGTTCAAGTGAATCTGATGTATTATAATAGAGGAACATATTTACTCTAAAATAAGTGTATATGTATCTTAGCCAATAAAATATGCTGCTTTGTCAATTTCAGGCTGAAGGTGTTGAGCAAGAGTACACACATACTTCATACATTTGTTCCAAAGGTACAGAAACGTTTGCTGTGTTTAATTTATTGCTAGACTTTTCTGTAAATAAAAACTTTATACATTTGCTCCAGAGGTAAAAGAATGTTTGCAGCATTTAATTTATTTCTAGATTTTTCTGCCAATCCATACTTTATACATTTGCTCCAAAGGTATAGAAATGGTAAGAATAATGTGTTGAACAGTGTTCTTTTAGTGTTCATATTCACTTTTCTATTATTTTGACTTTTCTGTTATTTTCTATTTTTGGATATTTATGTTTGTCAATTAGGTTTATAAAAATCTATCATGCATTATGTGAAAAGATATGGAAATATGGTATTTGGCCAAAAGACTGGAAGAGAACTATCTTCATTCCAATACCAAAAAAGGGTGACTTGAAATTATGTACAAACTATCGAACTATTGCCCTGATCAGTCATGCAAGTAAAATTCTACTAAAAATTATAATGAGAAGACTGCATAAGAAAATGGAAGAAGAGATTAATGTAGCTCAGGCTGGATTAAGACAGGGAAGAGGAACAAGAGATCATATATTCAACATGCGTTTAATAATAGAGAAGTGTAGAGAATTTAATGTAAATCTGTTCTTATGTTTTGTGGATTATTCAAAAGCATTTGACTGTGTACAACATCAGAAGCTTTGGGAAATCATGAGGAATATGGGCTTTCCATCACATATAGTGCAGCTCATTAAAATGCTCTATCAAGACCAACAAGCAGCAGTCAGAATAGATGGAGAGACATCAGACTGGTTTGGCATCAAGCAAGGAGTCCGTCAGGGATGTGTGCTGTCACCGTATTTGTTCAACCTGTACGCCGAAAATATAATGAGAAATGTAAGAGATGTTATAAACAAGGAACAATATGATGCCCTAAACATCGGTGGTCATGAAATACCAGAAATTCGTTATGCTGATGATACAGTATTACTATCAACATCACAAAATGGTTTAGAAAACTTATTAACCTCACTCCAAAGAAATAGTGAAAATCATAACTTATTTCTTAACATAGCAAAAACAAAGATAATGCATACAAACAAACTGCCATGGAGAAGGAAATATATGTTAATGAGGAAAGATTGGAAGTGGTGGAAAATTCGAATATCTTGGGTCATTGGTTACCAACAATGGTGACACAATGAAAGAAATTAAAAGGGAAATTAAACGGCGACTATCAATTGCTCTTCAAAGACTAAAACAACTGAATAAATTATGGAATTGTACAGATAGAACTACAAAGGTCAGATTTTTAAGAGCATGCATCTTTCCCATTGCAACATACGCCTGTGAGACCTGGACACTTACTAACAAGCGGAACAGCGCATAAATGCATTTGAATATAAATGTTACAGACAGGTTCTAAGAATATCTTGGGTAAAGAAAAGAACAAATGCATCCATACTTCAAGAGCTGAATATTGAAGAGGGTTTGGCTAGTAAAGACAATAAAACAAAGAAAATTGAAATATTTTGGTCACTTGAAACGTCATGGAAGTCTAGAGAGAACAATAATGGAGGGGTATATGCCTGGGAAGAGAGGAAGAGGAAGGCCAAGGAGAAGATGGGTGTGGCAGATGATCTCCAGATGGGTGTATCAGACGCAGGACATCTTGCTCAGGATAGGAAGGTTTTCCGGAGGGTTGTTATGGCAGCGAGGTTCCGCGAGAGACATGCTACTGAATGAATGAATTAGGTTTGGTATTTCAACTAGGGCTGTACCGAATAGTGATTTTCACTATTCAGCCGAATAGGAATAGCTGGACCAACTATTTGGCCAAATACCGAATAGTTATTAGGTACACTATTCGGCCCCGAAGCGAATACAAAGCGAATATTCGGTACAGCCTAATTTCAACACTGCACTTTTCATTTTCCCATTATTTGATTTGATAAGAAAAGATCATCTTTAGTGAGATTAATCCATGTCAAAACATAATCATCATCCTGTGGTGTGACATATATGTTCATCACATAGAGCTTGCAGTCTACCCTTTCATTCTGTTCATGCTTGTGAAATCTTTTCAATATCTTGGATGAAATCTTGTCTAATACCTTTGGTTCTTCTTATCAGTGTTTTGTCATTAGGTGTTTTTTTTTATGTCTTAATTTCCTCAGTCCTGTAGAAACAGCAATAGGAAAAAAATCTGTTTAAAATGACTTATTCTTAATGAGTTATAATAAAGTTAAAAATGGCTTTATTTTTATTTCAGGAGATGATTCAAAGCAGGAAATTGTCATTCTTCCTTTACCCACTGAAGGAGAAATAGTGAAAGACTCTGCCAGAGGAGAAGTAAAACTGATTGGTGAGTAATAAAACATTGCAAATGATGAGAAATTACAAGTTTATAAAAGAAGTAAGTAACTAATTATTAGTAAAAGAAATAATGGAGGAAAAAGTAATGATGATTGATGAGTAAATAAAACATTTTTAAAAGAAGAAGATGGAGATGGTTTAGGCATGCTTACAGAATGTCTCCTGACACTTTAGAAAGAACAACTCTCTGACAAATGGCAGATGGAAAAAAAGATGTGGAAAACCTAAGGAAATCTGGAGCATAACAACAGTAAAAAGGGAAATGAAAAAGTGTAAATTCATATAGGATACCATGGGCACAAAAGCAGCAAAGCACCAGCAATGGAGATGACTTGTGTGCCTTGTGCAAGTCAACAACAACCCAAAAAGGAAATGAATTTAAAAAAAAAAAACAATAAAAAGTTAAAAGTAGAAGTGAAAGTGATTGATTAACAAAAAAAATGTTAAAATGGCATTTAACAACACACATACATAAAATAACATTGCCCTTGACCTGTTAGGGTCATGGAAATGTTTCAGCAGAAGCACTAACACACAAAACCAACCATCTTTCTCTTTTTTTTTTTTTCACTTGTTGAACAATTGTGTGATAACTTAGTTAACAACATACATTCATCACCTAAAGAGATATTTAGATGGTAGCAAAAATTTAAGGAAGTGTTGAAATAACTTTTTTTTTGTTGTTGTTTAACTTTAAACAATTTTAAGATTTCAAATATGTTTCATTTATGGTATAGGCCTGGGAATTTTTCACTAGCCTCTGTCAGTGTACTCACAAATATTGATTTGTATTCACACTCCCTCTGACCTATGGCATACTTACATACTAAAATGAGTTAGCTCACAATAGGAATCCCCTTTGTGTGGAACAATGGTGGAAAAATTGTTCGTACACTTTCTTATGAATATGTCAACAGCTGTGGCTTAGGGGTTATAAACATGGTTTATAACTAAAATACCTGGCTCAGTTACAGCTGCAGGTGATATGACAGCAGACCACTGCATGTTTGTTTCAACAATGTTATAGAGCATCTATCATTCAGAAAGAAATGGCAAACCATTGAATGTAAAATTGCCTAGTAAAACCACAAACTCAACAAATGTTGGTGTCATTTTACAATATCCTGTAAAGGATACACAACTAACTTTAGGAAGACAATAAATACTCCATCTTCAAATCGCAGTGGGGAGTCGACGTGGCAGAGCAGCAAGACACGCACCGTGGATCGGAAGGTCATGGGTTCGCTCCCTGACGGAGCCTGACTTTTCTTCAAAAAATGACCTTGGCAGTCCCGGGAAGTAGAGGCAGCCGGCGTGATGCTGACCACATCACCCATCTTGTGCCGTTGGTCTATAAAAATATAGGTCTAGCCCTATATGCCCTATACGCCTAAAGGCGTGGAAGGGTCCTTTACTTTTTTACAAATCTCAGTGACAGGTTTTATTTTTCAAACCATTCCACCTCTGAAAACATCCTTGCCTCATGAAATTATATTGGATACTTTCTGTATTTTAAATTTTAAGAACTGTCTTTTTACAGATGTAGGAAAAAATATAGAGAATGGGAACTGATCACTTCTCATTATACCATGTCACTTCTCATTCTACCTTATCGCTTCTTATTATACCATGACCTTAACACTGTTACCACATTTTTAAATTAATGGATCTGTTTGGTGATGCAGTTAAATTATTTCCCTCATTCTCTGAAGATCATGGGTCCAGTTTTGAACTCTGCTCTTTTATTCATGCTTGCAGGTGTTTAGGAGAATCTTTGGGGGATGCCCCTGGAGCTAAAGAGCTTCATGCTTTGCATGATGCTCTAGGTGGGTGAAAATCACTTTGCTGTGAGCAATCATGCAAAGTTAAAAAATACCACATAATGTTTCCAAAGACAGTAGTAGATGCAATGCAGTCAAACACTAATGTGGAAACCTCACACAATTTTAATTTAACAAAGTAAATCCTTTTGTCTTTACACATCCTACACCAAGTGGCTACATTTTTTTTTTTTATAATGTGAATAATTTATATATGTTCAATGGTAATGCAGTGTCTGTTTCTAGAATGTATAGTAAATAAAAATGCATTCTTGTCTGTATTTTAAGGTGACATCATGGGCCCAGTACTGAGCAATCTTAACAACTTGGTGAGAATGCCTGCAGGCTGTGGTGAACAGAACATGATTGGCTTTGTTCCAAACATATTAGTTCTAAAGTACCTGGCCAGTATTGGGAAAATAACCAAAGACATTCAAGAAAATGCTGTAAAATATATGGAAATTGGTATGTTCACTGAGATTTGAGCCATCTTGTATCATTTTATAGTTCTGTTATGGTACAATAGAAATTATTTATTAAAATTGTTATTTCTTTACTGGGTAAATATCACAAAGATGCCCACATCCCGTAGTGTGTGAGATTTCATGCAGAAACCCATTCATACCAAGCCTGTTCCCGTGGGCTCTACTATATTGTAGGAGTATTAGGATATCTGTTCTTTCCCCTCCTCCGTCTGTACACATTGCATGCAAAAAAGGCTCCCGTTTGAGGCCTGACACATCATCTTTTTCTTCTTTGTTCACTAGCTGTGCATTCTGGTGGAAGGTCCCTGTAGATCATCCATTTGGACTGTTGGCTTTTACCTCTACCTGGGTTTTGCATGTACAACAAATGGCTTTTGCCTCACAGGCAGATGTACTCCGTCTTCAAGGGAAGACATCAGGCCTATCTCTAGGATGACTGTAGCTATTATTTTGTGTGGGTCGAGATGTTGCCTTTTTTGTGTGGTGTCCTCTTTGTCCCTTTATCTACATGTGTTGCCCTGGAGTACCCTCCTTGGAGCAGCCCTATGTAGAACGGTTAGCCCTCAAGGGAAGGCAGGGACAGATCATGGGCATTTCCTGCCATCCAAGGAGGCTTCCATAAAAGCAGAGACAGCACATGACGCTCTGGTTCTGAGCTCTCCCAAGGAATCGTCACATCCTGCACATAACTGCTTAACCTCACAACCGTATTAGGCCTCCTACTCAACACGGGCTGCGTCCTCCGGAGATCAGCGGGGAGCAGCCAGCAGGTTCAGTACTTTTGTGATCACACGAATAGGTACATTCTTTTTCGTCGCAGGTTAGACATCTTCAACGTGCCCTTAGCACGACAGAATGGAGAATCATGCATCAGTCATGTTTTCATCTGTTTGGTCCCAAAACTCAGACGAGTGGGGCTCCTGGATGCAGACATTTGGACTTCTTTCCCAATCAGTACAATTTATGATGATCAGATTTTGAGCTGTGTGGATTGAGTTTCCATTACTGCAGATGTAATTTCAGAAAAAGACAACCACACAAACATGGCTAGTGTCTAGGTACAATCTTCTCTCCAATCCTGTATAAGCGTCTACAACAAGTTGAGTTGCTACTGAAGAACTAATAATGACGACATAGGAACACAAGTCTGCGGTTATGAATAAATTAGTTGTCAACACAAATGGTTTATCTGTATAAACTACACATATGGCACACTGTGAGACAATGAGAATGCACAGTAAAAAAACCAGCTGAGCATCACAACCATGAACTCTAAGAAGACACCATTGGTACCCCTGATGTTCTGTGTCGCATTTTAACACAGCAGAATTCACCCTTCTGCAAACTACACAGTGTGCAGTCAAGCAAAATGATGACCTATGACACTTTTGCAGAGAGCTAATTCAGTGTTAAATGTTGAATTAAGAATCAACATTATAGCACATGGGACACTTCAGTAAGGGCTCCATTCCCATCTTCAGCAGCAAGCAAAGAGTTCCACATCCGGTAGTACCAGTAATTGTCAGATTGTATATCTGTTTCGCTTTTTCCTTGAGTTAATTCAGTGTGGACAAGGATGGTTGGTATCAGTGGCAGTTTTCTGCTCCATTTTCTCCAGACCATAATTTAAAAAATTATATTTTATAAATTATATATTTGTAATTTTAATATTATTAAAAGTATTTCAGGTAAGATTAGCTGCCTTCATATTGCAAACATTTTTATAATTTTGTTCACAGGTTATCAAAGGGAACTAACCTACCGTCACAAAGATGGCTCTTATAGTGCTTTCGGAGAGAATGACCCGCGGGGCAGTGTCTGGCTCACAGCCTTTGTTGTCAAATCCTTTGCTCAAGCCAGACCATTTATTTACATTGATGAAAAGGATTTGACCCTGAGCTTGAAATTCCTGCGGCTCAGCCAACTAGAAACTGGTTGTTTCAGAGAGACAGGGAAAGTGTTCCAGTCTTACATGATGGGTGGACTTGGAAGTGACAAGGACAAAGAATCCAATACAGCCCTGACAGCTTATGTACTGAGTGCATTGTTAATTGCCAATGTCAATACATCAGTAAGTAATGGAGCAAGTTTTTGATAATTAAAAATATTACCTTTTTGTTTTTTCTTACTCACATATCAGTTGTTTAGAAATGCATCCTAATTAACTCTGGGTCACACAACAGCTGTTAAATGTAAGCAGTAAATATAACAATAAAATGACAAGTTTATTGGTTTACAGGGCCAAATATTGTTATCTTGTATATAATGGAAGAAAATTATTTGTTGGAGTCCTGTGACTAAATGTACAAAATAATTGTGTATATGACACACATACACACACATGCACACACATGCGCATGTATACACACACTTACACACACAAAGACACACACACAAAGAGTGATTTATTGCAGTTGAGCTAGAAGTGACTCAATACAAACTATGAATAGGATGCTCAAGAAATGATCTTTAACACAAGACAAAACTATGCCTAGAATGCTCAAGAAGTGATTTAGCATAAGACAGACTATGACTAAGATGCTCAAGAAATGATTTACACAAGATAAACTATGACTAGGATTCTCAAGAAATGATTTAAGACAAGACAAAACTAAATTTTCAATCTTGAATTAGGAATTGACATGACAGCATCTTCAGCAGCAAGCAAAGATTTTCAATTCTGATGGTACCAGTAACTGTTTGATTGTATATCCATCTCCCAGTTCCTTTGAGAAGACGAACTATGACTAGGATGCTCTCCTTGAACAAGACAAAACTATGACTAAGATGTTCAAGAAATGATTTAAGACAAGACAAAACTATGACTAAGATGTTCAAGAAATGATTTAAGACAAGACAAAACTATTACTAGGATGCTTATAGAAATGATTTAACACAAGACAGCTGAGTTGAGTTGAGTCATGAATTGACATCACAGCACTCGGGGCATTCCCATGCCTACTCCATCCTCATCTTCAGCAGCCAGTGCACAGAGTTCCACTGCTGATGGTACTGGTCAAAATCTGGTTTATATGTCTGTCTTGCCTTTCCTCTGAGTGTAGTAAGCCGGCCAGACCCGTGGTTACACCCAGGTGCCTCATTCTCTCCAGGCCATAATAATTAATACAAGACAAAACTATCTAGTGTGGTGTTTACCTTGTGTTAAATCAAGACAAACTATGACTAGGATGCTAAAGAAATTATTTAACACAAGACAAAACTATCACTAGGATGCTCAAGAATGATTTAACACAAGGCCAAACTATGAACAGGAAGCTTGAGAAATGATTTAAGACAATACAAAACTATGAATAGGATACTCAAGAAATGATTTATTGCAAGGCAAAACTATGACTAGGATACTCAAGAAATGATTTAATGCAAGGCAAAACTATGACTAGGATACTCAAGAAATGATTTAATGCAAGGCAAAACTATGACTAGGATACTCAAGAAATGATTTAATGCAAGGCAAAACTATGACTAGGATACTCAAGAAATGACTTGATATGAGACAAAGCTGTGACTAGTATGCTTAAGACATGGTCTAACACAAGACAAACTATGACTATGATGCTTGAAGTAACTGAATGCAGAGTGAAATTTGAAAGCAAGAAGTAACTAATACTACATAAACTAATGAAATAAAACCAAAGATTTTAGTACAATAATAACAGGATTTAGTGTAAACTGCAGCAAATATGTCAAGTTTTCAAGCATTCAAAAATACTTCCAAAACAAGATGATGACTCGTATAGTGGGTATAAATTGCATTAGATAGTTATTTGTCTAGTTCAGAAGTTTGAGCTGAATGTTGTGAGGTTGACTTGTACACCATGTTGACTTGTACACCATGTTGACTTGTACACCATGTTGACTTGTACACCATGTTGACTTGTACACCATGTTGACTTGTACACCATGTTGACTTGTACACCATGTTGACTTGTACACCATGTTGACTTGTACACCATGTTGACTTGTACACCATGTTGACTTGTACACCATGTTGACTTGTACACCATGTTGACTTGTAAGTTATATTTAGAAGTATGTATGTTTTCAGTTATTATTTATCACCTCTGTCCTTCAATTATTAAGGAGCTATTTTTAGTCTGGTCATTTATGTCACACAGGAACCTGTGATTGTTGGTGGAATGACATGTATCAACAGTGATTTCCAACAGAAGAAGGGAAAGATGGATCCCTATACTCTGTCACTTGTGGCATATGCCAACTCACTGCATCAGCCAAACAGCAGAGTCGGTCATGAAGTCTTGCGTATTCTTGAGTCCAAAGCAAATAGAAATGGTAAGTAATGGTAAACATATATCTTGATATGCAGCTCATCTAGGAGAAGGAAAACTCTGATTTCAAACCACGGGCAGATGAGGCTCGCCAGCACGGGAGTGCAGCTCATCTAGGAGAAGGTAAACTCTGACTAAACACCTCCACTGCCTTGTGGCCATACCCATGTTTGGGAAAGTGCTTCGGGAGTAAACCCTGAGGAAAAATCCGGAGCTGGAATCCCTAAGGCGGTTTAGCATTGTATACAGTGCTATTCCGGCAATTCCTGCAACGTCCTCGGTGCCAAGTTGTACTGGTTTTTGCCTTTCCCTTGGTATCACCGGCGACGTAGAGAGGGGGTACTTGCTGCCTGGGCAACAGTCTGTACTCCAAATCAAAACGCCCTGGCCTGTGCCCTGGAGAGGTCACTCCAGCGATGCTTAACAGTTTCGATGTCACAGCAGATGCTGTTCCCAAAGCCAGCGGCACATCTCCATAGTCCCCCGGGACTGACGGATGCCATTATATTATATATCTTGATAGAACTGTATGATTGATCATAGTTTAATGTCGGAAGGTCACATGTAATGAGTGTACTTTAGATCTTTTCTCCAGGCCATGCTGAAATGGTGGGGAATGAACAGGTAGACAGATTCCCTGGATCTGCACCACTGGGTGGTGAATTGATGTATAACAAGGCAGATGTGATAAGGGCCCTTTGGGAATAAACAACAGAGTCAGAAGCTGGCTCACTACACTCAGGGGAATGGCAAGACAGACATATAACCAGATTATGATTAGTATTAGAACTGCTCTGGCTGCTGAAGATAAGGATGATGCATGCATGGGAATGCCACAAGTGCTATGATGTCAATTCTTGACTGAACTCAACTCATTTCAACTCATATTTTAACGTATAAGTTTAGAGAAAGCCATTTTTACATGTTAGATTATAAGTAATATACATATAAACACAATCACAGATACACATTTCATAGGCTTTACCACTAAGTCTCATTCTTGAAAGTGCTATTTTTAACATATTTCCATATTCAAAACAATGTTTTCCAATTGTAAACTTAAATAATTTATTGCCAGGCAAAGATATTCAACTTTGAAGGGGAAACAGGTGGACTTTTAATCAGGTTCAGACTGGTACTATTGGCACGTAAACCCTTTGTTGGTTACTGAAGAAAGGGATGGAGCACATGTAGAAATGTTCTGAGTGTAACAATGTTACTCTTGATTCATTCATTCATTCATTCATTCATTCATTCATTCATTCATTCATTCATTCATTCATTCATTCATTCATTTACATCATGAAATTACACTTGTTTAACTTTTGATAATCAGGTTCCCTGAAATACTGGAGCAGAGACACACCCAAGCCTAAGCCTGTGAACACGTGGTTTTATTATGCAGCACCTTCTGCAGAAGTAGAAATGACATCATATGCCTTAATGGCCTACCTGAACCTGTATGGGGAAAGAGGAATTGAACATTCACACAACATAGCAATGTGGTTGTCTCAACAGAGAAACCCTAATGGTGGCTTCTCATCAACTCAGGTATTCCTTTCATTGGTGTGATAGCAACATTATGTTTAGATACTGTCCAACAAATTTCTGAAGCAGTAAATAAGTAAAATATTGACTAGACTAGTAAAACACTGATGCAGACTAGATTTGTATTATTTTCTAGTCTGGAATGAAAAATGAAAAAGTTTAACACTTGGAGTTGGGTGGATGGTTTGGCTTAGGAGGTCTTAGCCTTGCTTAAATGCACAATAATAACATCCCACAGTAAATAAGTAAAATATTGACTAGACTAGTGAACACTGATGCAGACTAGATTTGTATTATTTTCTAGTCTGGAATGAAAAATGAAAAAGTTTAACACTTGGAGTTGGGTGGATGGTATGGCTCAAGAGGTCTTAGCCTTGCTTAAATGCACAATAATAAAATCCCGAATGGTCATTGAAAATAATAATATATTTGACTAAAACTTTAAACTAAAAATGTTTGTGTCTAAAGGAGTGAAAATATTAAAACCATAAGAACGGAGCTTATAGGCTAATGAGATAGTTGGGGCAGAATGAGTTAACTAAACAACTGGATGGATGTCAAATAGTTAAGAATAGTATATAATATAAGCAGGGCAAAAAAAGATGCCGGTACTCACCTCCAAGTTTCTAATGAAAGGTGCCGGTACTCACAATAAAGTGTCTGTTACAGAAGTAAAAAAAAAAAAGCCTGAAAAACATGCAGGTACTGCTTTCCATTGCATACTGCAAGAAAAAAAAGTAAAGTACTGAATGAGTTAAATGTATCAATGGTTGTTTTTTTTAACTTGCCTTTTAAATGTATTCGTTATTTATTGTTTGTTTGTTTGTTTAAAGGATACCGTTGTAGGACTACAAGCATTGTCAGAGTTTGCAAGTTTGGCTTACAACAAGGATGGTACTGAACTGGAGGTCTCAGTAACTGGGAACCAGATGACCCAATCTTTCAGTGTCTCAGAGAAGGAGCACACAACATTACTGCTGCAGTCAGCTCCTATCCCTGTCCTACCAAATAAACTTTCAATCACTACGAAGGGGGTGGGATGTGTACTAGTGCAGGTCAGTTTTGTGTTTTGTTCATGACTGTTCCTAATGGAAAGAATATGTAGTTCAGAGCTCATCACCAGTCAATAGGTCCTTTACAGAACATTGCTTTCCTCACAGCATGTCTTTCTCTAGGCGCTCTCCAGTCTTCTGTCTTCCATAGCTGATGCATCTTCAGTGTCCTGTATCCACATTTGCAGAGGTCTGCCTCAGCCTTGTACAGAAACTTTACTCCATGATCATTCTTTCCAGGCCACCATGATATTGAACAGCTTTTGGGGCAGGATGCTGTTTATTTGCCAGTTTTCCTCAATGTTTAGGTCTGTAGGATGTCAGTGTGAATTTTTTTTTTTCTAAAACCTTTCAGTTCAAAGGCTTTGATATTTTTCTGCAGTGATTGAGTAGGAGACCCAACAACTCAAATCATAAATTGCCTTTGTTGCATTTATTGGAAAATTGTTTATGAAAGCATCTTCTATGGATCATCAGCTAAAAGCAATTAATATAACTAATATAAAAATACAGCACCAAGCCTTATGTATAATAGCAGGTACTTCTGGAACATCAGTTGAAGCAAGGGGAGTAACTTCCCTAAAGCTTAGAAGAAAAGAGCTGAGATTAAATTATACTACAAAAGTAATATCTGACAATACTGCATATGCAACTTTCAGCCAATCACACAACTCAGCTGAAAACTCAACTTACACTTAAGATAAGCTAATAACAATGTGAAGATGCAGGTTAGAATTTTAAAAAATTCAGAATTCTACAAATTTTGTCAACAACAAAAAAGTTGGGTATCCTCTACAGGATATTGCAGAACCAACCCCAGCATTTTTTACCTGTTGTAGTTTTATAGGCAAATGTATGTTCTGTCGTTTGCCTTTGTTTTCTGAATGTTCAGTTCTTGGTACCATTGTCGATTCCAAAGCAAGAAGGTGTACTGCCAAACTGCCTACAACTGGGATCGAACCGAGCCTTACAAATCACATTAGCAATGCCTAAGCTACAGTTGCTGAATAAGTTATTACCCAGACTTCAAATAGTACGTCCCTGTTATCGTACCATGGGAGATTGTATGACCAGAAATTGACTATTAGTGAGCGGCTATTTATACAGTTGGTTCTAAAGGAGAAAATGATAGGTTAGGAATCCAAATATACATACCAAAATAGAAAAAAAAATTTTTTAGCTTGACAAGCAACATTTCAATATTTGCTGCAGAAATGGTTGCTGTATTGAAGGCACTAGAAAGGGGTTTGAGCCTCCTCCCTCCTTCCCACCCCTTTTACAACAAAGGTTGACTGTTTTAACAGACTCTATCTATGGTTATGGTTCTTTAAAAGCTCTTAAAATTTGTTTATGAGGATTAACAACCTCTTTCTGTTAATCAAATTTTAAATTTAAAAATCTTAACCTACTCAGTTTTTTTGCTTTCTGCAGTTTTTGTTTGTTGCTTAAACATAATAATATATAGTGAGGATAGTTATTTTTGTTATATTCAGTGTAGTTTATTTATACACTAGTTTTTTTCCTTCCATCTGTCAGTTTTGTACTACATATTCATAAATAGATTGATTTATAATTTATTCAGTCTAGTGTCCACTACAATAAACAACCTAAAGACCTCCAAGGCGATGAGAAACCAAGCCTTCACTTGAAAGTCAAGACAATGAGATATGTGCATAACATAGACAGATGTGATCGAAGAACAATCTCATTATCTGTGGGGTAAGCAAACATAATTTTATATTTATTATGCAGCTTATTCAGTAAAAGTTTCTGAGACGGATAGCATCTAGCGATTATAGTGAATTTTTTTTAACTTATGAATCTCTTGCATTGCTTTTTCTTTGAGTCAGTAGCTTCTTTGGCATTCCATCCGCAAATGGCACACATTAAATTAATGTTATGTATCAAACATGCTAAAGAAAATGGATTTGGATGTATGTACAGGCACACAACATGCAAGTGAGTTAAAGTAAACATTATTGATATTCCGTATCTTTTCTGTGGGTGAGGAGTATTGTCTTGATTTTTTCACCGGGGCAGAGCAGTATGAACAGGCTGAGAGACTGGCTGGCTCTGCACAACTTGGTAGAATACTGATGCATGATAAAGCAGACATGGTTAGTGCCTTGTGGGAGAGCATGTACAGTTCGGAGGAGCAGACGGATCACCACAGTATGGTGAGATTGATACGGGGGGGGAGTGACGAGAGGTTCTGGCAGATGCTCGAGGCTCAAAGGAAAGGCAAGACGGATGTTTAATCAGAATGCTACTGGCACCATTAGTATCGGAACTCTTCACTGGCTGCTGAAGATGGAAACAGAGAGCTTATGGGAATGCCCTGAGTGCTGTGATGTCGGTTCTTGAATCAAATCAAATCTGTGGCAACTTATTATGTAAGTCATGGATTTTTGCTCAATCATTGAAGAGAATAATCAGAACTTTTGAGCTAAAATGCTACAGAAATATTCTTAGAATTAGAGGAATCAGATGGGGAAAAACCCCCGACATCCACAGTGATCTGAACATTTAGGAGCATTGGCCCATAAACAGCATCCTGTCTCAAAAGCTGAGGTATTTTGGTCATGTTAAATGTCATGGTGGCCTAATGAGAACAGTGATGGAGGGTACACTTTCTGTAAAACTAGACAGACCTCTGTGAACGTGCATGCAATACTTTGAAGACACATTGGCTGTGAAAGCACATAAGGCTGGAAAGTGGCTATTAAAAAAAAAGAGACGTTCTGGCATACCATCACAGGAGCAACATTCTATAAAGTACCCGCTAATTCATTAAGATGGGCAGTGATTTGAGTCGGTAAAGAAATATAGGGATTGGATTGTTGCTTTTATTTCTCTATCAGGTCATTCTGAGGTTAAAATAACTCTATTCCCACATGCAAACACACGTGCACCCATGGATGCACACAGACAAGTACACTCATGCATGTGACACAAATTTGTTGAATGTTGAAATAAGAATCGAAATCATAGCACTAAGGACACGCCCATAAGTGCTCTGTCCCCATCTTCAGCAGAAAATTAAGAGTTTCAATTCTGATGGCACCAATTACTGTCTGATTGTAAATCTGTCTCGTCCTTCTGTTGAGTGTTGGCCAGATCCCCTGGTAGCTCCTTGCAATGCCATTCTCCTCAGACCGTAATGATCTATTTGCACTTCCGCACTGTTTACTTGCTCCCTGAGGGCACTCAAAACGTCTAGCCTGTTATACATTAATTTACCACCATGTGGTGCTGAACCAGCCAGTCTACCTGCCTGTTCATTTTCAACACACTAGCATTACCTGGAGAGAATACCAAAGGATACTAACTACCCGGGACCTCTAAAGTGATGCTTGCCACTCTGCACGAAGCATACCTGTTTTCACCTTTCTCAACATGCTCAGTGAGTCAGTGACAATCGTGGCATGTGTGTACAGCTGATTCTCAAGCCAGCGTAAGGCAGCAGTGACTGCCTCCACATCCATTCTCAAACTAGATGTTGCGATATCATTTGCTAGGCTTTGCTGCACTAAACGATGCCAATTTGCCTTTGCTATAAACCCCCATGCATGTGACAAATTTATGATTTACTATAAGAAATATTAAACTGTAAAATGCATAGCCTCCTCTGTTTCTATAGGAAAAGAGGAAAGCAAGGGCTTGAAGATGGGATGAGTCTTGTAACTATTAAGATGGTAACCAGCTGGTCTCCTGTGCCGGAATCTTTGACAAAGGTTAGAAAGTGTTCCCCACTGTGTACATTAAAAATCTATTCTAGTCCACAACTGAGAAACAATACAATAATAAGACTTGTATTTAAAGTTTAATAAGTATGTATTAAATATCTGTTTTTTTTTATTAAACTGATTACTGATTTTATTAAATAAATTAGTTGCCTTTCCTTTACAGAACATTGTAGAACCAACCCCCAGCATTTTTTGGCTTTTGTGGTTTTTCTAGGCAAATTTACGTATAGTAGTTTGCCCTTGCTTTCTGGACGTTTGCTTCTCAATACCACAGTCGAAACCAATGTAATGGGCAAGGTCTGCAGCTGGGATCGAACCCAGCACCCTGGCATTACGAAGCTAGTTTGCAACGCCAAAGCCACAGACACCGACGATTTTATTAAATACTTGTACTAATTATTTAGCCTTATATACCAACTGATGTCAATATTTACACATGCAAACTTAAATATGATATGACCCCAAGAAACAGATTATAAATAGCCTACCAACAATGTGATACAAATGCGAAACCTGGACATTATCAGAGACTAGTCTATGTAAAATTAACAGCTGTGAAATTAGATACCTGAACAAAGCTGCCAGATTAGCCATCCAAGACAAAGTGGGGAATGATACTCTCAGACAGACTGTGAGGACAACATCATGCACCAAATTCATTGAGAAACAGAAGATGAGATTGTTTGGTCATCTCATTAGAATGAATGAATCCATCAATCTGCACTCGAGACATTCCCACACTAGCTCTATCCCCTTCTTCAGTAGCCAATGAAGAGTCACTATGCTAATAGTACCAGTTGCAACATGATTAAAAGTCTACTTCAGTTTTCCCTTAGTTTTTGAATATTTTCCAGAATCTCTTCACACCCTCTGTTGAATTACTTTCAATGTATAGATTCCCTGTATGTTTTGTTGCACTGTCCATTTGATCCCATAGAGCCTTCACTACATCTGCTTTATCATAAAGTAGCTCACTGCCCAGAGAAGCAGCAGCCAAGCTATCAGCCTGCTTGTTACTTCATACACCTAAATTTATCTCATTAGAATACAGCCACAACTACCTACACATGAACATAGCTGATATAAAAGCAAGAGGTCACCCTAAGAGAAAAAAACTGATGATACTGAATACTCTACATCAACAAGGAATGACGACAGCCACTTCTACCTATCAAGCAATGTATTGGCAATTAGTTACTCCCTATGACGTTTCACAGCAATTTCTCATAGCCTGCAAAAGCAGGTTTTTGGTATGTAGAGAAATTGTTCTGAAAAAAAAAAAATCTAGATCTTTTGGTAAACAGATTGATGAGCCACTCTTCTAATTTGTTTCTTTTCTTTTTCTTTTTATTGTTGATGCACTTAATTTACTGGGAGTCGCCGTGGCAGAGCGGCTAGACGCGCGCCGCGGATCGGAAGGTCGTGGGTTCGCTCCCTGGCGGAGACAGACTTTTTTTCAAAATTGACCTTGGCTCCCAGGTCAACCCAGCCTTGAGTGGGTACCAGGTGCAATCTCGGGAAGTAGAGGCGGCCGGCGTGATGCTGACCACATCACCCATCTTGTGCCGTTGGTCTATAAAAATATAGGTCTAGCCCTATATGCCCTATACGCCTAAAGGCGTGGAAAGGGTCCTTTACTTTACTTACTTAATTTACTAATTTTTTATGTTTACAATTATTAATTTATAAAATTTTCCTATTATAATAATTTTATTTTTCTAAAAATTTGCAGTTGAGAAGCCTTTTTCCTCTTCTTGGAATAAAGAGAATGGAATACTCAGAGGAACAAGGAGTTCTCACACTTTATTTTGATGAGGTAAATATAGCTTTTGCTGTGAACTTTCTTAATAAAATAATTAAAACTTTTTCAGCTTGGAAAGCAGATAAAATAAGAGATATTTAGGTAAATAAACAAACACTGCTCTGGATATTTCTTAAATGTCCATTTTTAAAGATATAGCTCAGCAATGTCCTTTCGAGTAAGTCTTGGATGCCTTCTTAATCGTAAAATTGTGATTTACTCTGTGTAATACTGTGTGGCATAGTTGTTAGTAAACTTACCTGCTGAGACAGCAAACTGTGTTAAATCCTTCAAAGTGGTAGATTTGTTTCTATTATTACTGATCTGGAGCTTACCTAGTCTCATAGACATTGACACCAGATAATTTCTAGAATTTCTGGAAAATTTGAGGGGAAAGAAAGATTTCATAAAGAAATGAACTGGCCAGACTACCTCACAAGTCATGGCCTAGATTTAGTAGTTTAAAACTGAACACTAAGTGCCAGTATGTTCTGTTGCCCTTCCATTACTCTCTGTTGTCTGTCTCTTTCTTCAGTTTAATAAAGCTGAAGAATCTTAATCTTACCACTTTGATGTTTGGCTGTGAAGGTTTATTCTATATCTTCCTTCTCCTCAGCATTCCGAGGTTCATTGCTGCAAATATCCACTGCCTCCACTCATCTCTCTTGTTCTTTTCTCTCTCCAGTTGGTGACACCAAGTTTTTGTAGGTCAGTCTGGACATTAATTCTCCATTGTCTTCGTGGCAGCCTCCTGGTCAGTGACCATTCAGATCCCTTGTGTAAACAGTTTTTACCTCTCTGTCATCTGACATTCTCTCAATATGCCCCACCCATTTAAGTCTATTAGCTCTCATGATGCCAGTGATCAGTGGTGATTTAAACAGATTATGAATATCCTGCAGCACACAATATCATGTCAGCACACGAACTAATAGGTGCTGCAGAAGATCGCCGATTGTGGAGAGGCATTATTGCCCACATCAGTCGGCAAGACACCTGATGATGATGATATAAATATCTTTGTTGCTTCCAACTCTCCATTCCCTGCTGTTTGCATCTTTGATAGGTCGAATGATTTGTCGTAACACTCTGTTTTCAAAAATTAGTAAATAAGGGTTCATCTCTTTTAGCTATGCTCCAAGTTTCAGAGTCATAAAAGATGACTGACTGGTCTTATCAACGTTCTTTATATTTTGATCTTGGTGTTGCGAGATAGAGACTTTGACTTTAGCAGATGTTGAAGGGCATAGTATACTTTATTTCCAGATTGTATTCTAGATTGTAATTGTATTTCTTCTCTCAGCATGTTGGAGCAGTTGAAGTTTACACCCAAGTACTTATATGTTTCTGCTCATTTGATTTTCATCTGATAACTCACTGGTCAGTTATTCAACTGCTCCAGCTCAATAAAGAGCTCATACATTCCATGTTCCAAATCTTAAAAGTCCTTTAATGTTGCAGTTTAATTGTCCATTTAAATCCATCCAAAATCGAGGCTTAGATATATGTTTCGTGACAAGAAGTTTTACGAAGGTGGGAGTTGTCGGCCCCCAAACTTCAACTCCCAACCTGGAGAACCAGGGGGTCTCTCTTTGTCTGTTCTCTACCCTTCGACTTTTCTGGCTTTGGAGTCCCTGCTGGTGGCTAAGCTACTGCCGTCATAGCTCTCAGGGTCATTGAGAAACACAAGCTACCCTACCATGGCAAGGTGAGGACACCTTTAGGGAAAACTATTTTATATAGTCTTCATAATTAGAATAAGCCAGATATTAGTAAATTAATTAAATATTTCCTGAGAATGTTTATAACTTAAAATTGTGATAATAAGAAACAAAACTTGATTTTGTTTTAAATCATGGTGCATTTAGTACAAATAATTTTTATTTACTTATTTATTGTAGCTCTCTAGGAAGCCAAAAGAATTCAGCATTGATGTAGAGCAAGACAGAGATCTAGCTGTATCAGCTCCTAAACCTGCTGAAGTGAAAATATTTCAGTATTATGAAACAGGTTTGTGTCTACTACATTAAATATGAATTTTGTTAATTATAATGTGCAGTAAGTAAAGTAAAGTAAAGATCCCTTTTCACGCCTTTCGGCGCATCAGGCATATGGGCAGAGCGTCCCATTTTTTTACAGACCATCGGCACTCTGTGGGTAATGTGGTCAGCATTACACCGGCTGTCTTTACTTTCCCAGGACAGCCCATCCTGGTACCCATTTTAGGCTGGGTCATCTGAAAAATGTGGCAGTAGCAGATCTTCCTAAATGTGGATACAAGACACTGAATACGCATTTGCTAGAGAAAGATAGACTTTCAGTCTGGCCAGAACGTTAAGAGCTGACATCCCAGCACTAGGGACATTCCCATAAGTGCTCTGTCCCCATCTTCAGCAGCCAGTGGAGAATTCAGTTCTGGTGGTACCAGTAGGAGTTGAATCTTAGCCTCATCCCCTGCTCACTCTTCACTGCAACATCCTCTTAAAACTGTGATGATCTACTTGTTCCTCCACACTGTTTACACTTGTTCCTCCGCACTGTTTACACTTGTTCCTCCACACTGTTTACACTTGTTCCTCCACACTGTTTACACTTGTTCCTCCACACTGTTTACACTTGTTCCTCCACACTGTTTACACTTGTTCCTCCACACTGTTTACACTTGTTCCTCCAAACTGTTTACACTTGTTCCTCCACACTGTTTACACTTGTTCCTCCGCACTGTTTACTTCTAGTTTAGATTTGAGAAAATCTATTAATTTTTATCCATTTAGTTTAGATTTTTTTAAATTTATTTTTAAAATCGCCCTAATAGAGATTTTATGAGTTATGTCTTTTAATGTGGCACAGATATGTCACTGTTTACTTCTAGTTTAGATTTGAGAAAATCTATTTTTAAAATCCCTCTAATGTAGAATGTTTGAGTTGTCTTTTAATGTAGCAGAAATGTGTTCCTATTTAATTCTTTCAGCAATTTTCTTCAGCTGCCATAAAATCATAATGAATTTGCATGTTTGTGTCTGTGTATGCATCTGTATGTCTATGTGTGACTGTCTGTACATGTGTGTTTGTATGAGTGTGTGTGTGAGAGAAAGAGAGAGAGAGAGAGAGAGAGAGAAAGAGTTTTGCTTTAGTAAAAATAAAGAATACAAATCTATCACACAAACAGTTTATTAGACATTAACATTTTCCCCCGTGTGGGTTCCGGAGCCCTATTCTAGGGAAAACAAGAATAGATCCTTTACCTGCCCAAAAGATTGCCGTAAGAGTCAATTAATTGTGAGCTTCCTTCGAAGTCGGAGTGCAAGGAACCAACAGTATGCACACAAATGTGTCAGATCTGTCAAACACATGCACATGCAACCCAGAAGTGGACCAAGAGCCATAATTTTCCATCAGAGTTTACAGCTGGTGAATGCAAAGAAGAAGAAGATTAACATTGTATCACTCAAGGAAGGTAGTCTGGTTTAAGTAAAACTTCCATTCATTTGTTGTCCTGCTGTGCCATTGTCTGTCACTTAGGGCTTGCAGTCATGTTCTCCATTCCCTTCTATCCTGTGCAATCAGTTTGATCTCATGGGTTGAATCCTATCCAGCACCTTTGACCTCTCTCATCCATGTTTGTCCTAGAGTTTCTCTAGGATGTCCTCAATCCCTTTATATCCAATTTTAGTGCCTGTTTGGTGATTCTCTGTGGTTTTCTTCTCAGAATGTTTCCAATGTAGCACCATAAATCTTCTCTATCTTATAGTTAATTGTCAATACTAATGGTTGCCCAGACATTCCTCTTATTTTTTAACTCTTCTTGAATTCACCCCATTTTATGTTTATCATTTTCATCAGGCATTGCTTTTTGAATGCATTTAACTTTTGTTCCATAACTCTAGTGGTTCTTCAAATTTCGCTTGCATATATTAAAACTGAAAATACATTATAATTAAAAATGTGTAACTTTCATGGTTATGCTTTTTGAATGCATTTAACTTTTGTTTCAAAACTCTAGTAGTTCTTCAAATTTCGCTTGCATATATTAAAACTGAAAATACATTATAATTAAAAATGTGTAACTTTCATGGTTATACTTTTATCCAGATGTTTCTGCGATTGAGTCATATGAGTTAAAGACCATCTGTGGCACCAAAGCTGAGATTCCAATACTTCCTAATGTAAATGAGGAGGACAATCCACTTCTTCAGAGAAGAATTGGTGAGTTTCATATCATAATAGGAAACTTAACATAATAATTTATGATCAGAAGTTAACATCACTGCTCATGACAAGCTTGCATGTGCTCAGTCTTTTCCAGCATAAGTTTGCGTCGGTGCTGACTTTCTTCTTATCCTCATATCAAGGCAGCCGTTGGAACTCATTAGAACCCTTCCCATCTATAACCAATCCTGAAGACCCAACCTCCTCACATGAAAGCAACAGACCATTGTTTTTAGATTGTGAATAACACAACAGGTTCCACAGCAATATATATATTTTTTTAAATCCAGATAGGGTACTCAAAGCTGTCCATGTACAGAAATCAAAGCAAAATGTGAAACTATACAAACTGCATTTTGGTCATATAAGTAATTACTTGATATATAAATGTAATATAACAAATATATACTCTGAAAACTAAATTAACATTATGTATCTTAATTATAACCCTGAGAGTTGAACAGGATATTCTTGAAAAATTACTACTACATATACAGAATACAGAATAAGTGCTCTCTTCATACAGTAGAGAGGTCCAGGACCTGGCCAGGTGGCATTCCAGTAGAAACCAATCTGTATGGATCAGTGGAGGATATGCATTGCACCACAACCTTCATAGAGGCCTGTGACCTCTCATCTGAAAACTGCTGACATGGAGTACAAGCAGAAGAAGAAGAAGAGAACATTTATCAACAGGTGTGACACCATGCATCAAGTTATCATTTATTTCCCATATTATAAATACCCTCTGTCCATCTTGATTATCCTAACAAAGGGTGCTTTTGGAGATTTTATATTGGATCTCTTATTTTTGTGAATGTGAGACCATTAGTGTTGGCATATCTGACAGCTGCCTTATGCATTTTAACTTTTTGTGTGCAAGCTTCAAGGCAGGTGAGCCATGGACCATGCATATGTATATAGAATGCTTTACGAGAAGTAAGACATTTGCTAGAACCAAGTAACTGAATCTACAACACTGATTCGCCTGCAAGAACAGTAAGTTAAAAGGTGTGGCCAGATAAGAGTACATGCAGGAAGCAAAGGAAGAAAAAAGAAACTAAAGAACTTATTAGCTGCTAAACTCTGCAGGATTTACTGAGGAGGGTATCCAAATACTAATGGACTGATGTGCAATGGAGAAAATTTGTCAAGTAAATAACTAATAAACTTCAAGATTTAGCTGGCGATTGACATTTTGTATGAATCCGCTGGCACAGGAATAGAGCAGTTATTGGGTCTCCCATCTTCAGTGATGTTGGAGCCTCAGCTAACAAGATTAATGAGAAACACAAATCAATCTCTCGTGGGAATCTCAACCAATTAATTATAAAATTCATTGACATAAACATCCTGTTGGGCCATTTATATGTCATTTAGTTGGACTTCTTTTGTTTGTTTTCCTTTCAATCTTCCAGGGTGAAAGGTTAATAATTACAGTGTTAGTGCCTTAGCCTAACAATAATTTTACTGCATATTTTATAAGAAATAAGAAACACAGAAATGACCAGCAGTTATTTATTTATGAATAAAACCCATGATAAGCAATCTTGGTGATTAATTATTCTTGTAAGACAGACATTAGATTATTTTGCTTCAAATTGGCTGATTTGTAAACTGTGTGTTTTCAGATCTGAGTCTTATCCCAGCAGAAGGAAGAAATGTATGTATGCTTATTCTAGTTGACAAAGATTAATGTAAAATCCTTTAGTAATTTGTATTATTTAAAATAATCTTAGTGCCTATGCCTTGTGGTGTTGGTAATACTGAATGTACACAGCCTTCTGTCACATGTACTGTCAATCAGTTTTTAGACAGATGTTCCCTGTGTGTGTTCCAGGGCCCCATTGTGGGTAAAACAAGAAAAGATCCACTGCCAAAATGGCTGATAGCTTTCTGACCCCTGATGCTCTAAAATGTTGATGCAAATACCTTATTTCAGGACTGGTATTATAAAGGTCTAGTAAATTGGTTGAAGTAAAAATCTTGAAATCATGCATTTTTCCTGTGGCAACTTACGGTTGTGAGTCTTGGACTCTCACTCAGTCACTCAGAAAAAAAGATTGGAGCTTTTGAATTGAATGTTATAGAAAAAATTTTAGAATACCATGGATTAGGAAGAGTAAAAACATCAACATTCTGAACGAGTTAAACATCAAGGAGCACTGGCTCATATACAGCATCCTGTAATGAAAGTTGAGGTATTTGGAAACATCAAGCGTCATGGTGGCTTGTAAAAGACGGTGATGAAAGGTGCAGTTTGTGGAAGGCAAGGCACGGCTACCACAGCGAAGATGGATACAAGATATTAAAGATGCATTGGCACTGAAAGCACATAGGGCTGGAGAGCTGGCTAGGGAAAGGGATACTTTTAGGCGTGCCGTGAAGAGAGCGATGTTCTGTAAAGGACTTGCTGAATGATGATGATTATAAAGGTTCTATCGCCCAGCTACTGTGTTGAGTGCTTGATGTGACACTGTCAGCTGTGGATTTCATGGCGTGAGGCTAATTATGATCAGATGGCCTTGTAATTTTCTGGATGCAATGCAAGCTGTTATTGATTATTTGTACCAACAGGGAGCTGCAATTCTTGTATGAAACTGTTGGTGTTGGCACATCTGACAGCTGTCTTATGCATTTTCACTTTGCCTGTGCAAGCTTCTAGATACTGCCATCAGGTTTTTCCACTAGTTTTCAAATAAGACAGTGAAAGACATTTTTTTGATTTTTACTGGCACAGGAATAGAGTAGTTATGAGGTGAACCATCTGTAGTGAGGTTTGAATCTCGACTAATGAGTTAAAACTCAGTATCTGACTGGAATCGCAATCAGTCTATCAATAAATTAAATCATTCATCACTATCATCATCTTGTTGGGTCATTTATGTATTATTTGTGCTTGAAGTCACTGCCTTTATTCTGATCTACCATGTGCAATTTTTTTTTTCATATCGAGAAAAAATCTGGTCCAGCACCTCGGATCTCTTTCGTCTATTTTTGTCATAGAGATTATCCTGGATTTCCTCACTTTCTCAAACTATGTGTTTCCCATTTATGTGCCTATTTAATGATGAATTGTTCAAATATACTCAGATGTGCCCAGAATATCACAACTGTTTGCTTTTTTTTTTTTTTTACAGTGAAATACCACCAGGCTATAAATCAGGCAGTGTATTGTTTGTGTCTGCATTATTTAAGGTTACAGCGGGAAAACATTATGTTTCCCTTCCACTGAGTTCACTCAGAGCTTATTAAAAATAATCACCCCTTTTATTCCAGAATGATGGTTCTAATGTGTGTCCAAAGTGCGTTCCAATCAAATATGAGCCCAAAAATCTGAAAGAGCTGGTGTGTAACTCAACTTTCGGTAAGTTGTATTTTAGTGCAGTTTATATTAATTTGTAGGGAAGGAAGTGCTTATTAACTCTAAGTGCCAGGTTTTTGAAACAAATAACTAGTACTGTTAAACTACAGTGAGAAAACCCATGTCTATTACTTTCAAAGAAGTATACACTGTGCTTTCTTCGTCTGTGTTTACCCTAAAAAAAGTACTGGCACACTATAATGTAGTTTGCTGCTAGGCTGCAATATTTCTGCACTTTTCAGTCCAACAAATTCAGTTTCAGCAAACTTTTAATTAATCATCTTGATCGACATACTTGTTGAGGAGGTGGGGGGAGGGGGGAGGGGGGGGTGTGTTTCTCCCCAACCTAAAATGGGGTCCCAGAACCGACAAAGGGAACACTGTTGAGTATTAAATATTTAGCCATAATATTTTTAGTATGATCAGATCAAATGCAAAATAGAAACAAACCCACTATGTATTGTTGGATACACACAGGCCACAGTTGAAAAACATTGATCCTATTAGGAAAACTGCTGTTTTTTTTTTTTAAAGAAGAAAGCAAACCAACATTATCATTTGTTAGCTGTTTGTGGTTTTATTAGGCAATTTTTACACCCAGTAGTTTGCCATTGCTTTCTGAATGGTTGATTATACATTTATCAAAATCAGTGCAAATGCCAATTTAAAAAAAAAAATCTGCTTAAGCTTATGTTTTTTCTTAGAGTCTATAAAAACACTATATACTTATTGGATGTCACACCTAAGCTGTAAATGACCAAACTTCTTTAGTGTCACCCAGTTATACTGCAATTAGATCATAGTCTAGTTCCTTAAACAGTAGACAAAGGATCATACTGTGACACTTGCAACAGTCACCAGGTAGTATTGGCTCAACCAAGAAGGAGAGCAGTGACAAACTATCCTCACCAAACATTCCGTGAAACATGATTGAGCACCTGAGACTTGTTTGATAAGAAATAATACTGAAAATATAATGACAATTGGCAAATTAAATGGGAAAGCAAAGAATAAAATTAAGACATTTTTTATAGTGTACATTGTGTCCAGAACATATTTATTTATGTCTACATTGTTTTGTACATATTGTTGTGGCACATGTAATTTAACACACATATACATACACACACAGGTAGAAAAGGAGACAAATGCACTGACAGACATATTCACAAACAGGGAGACACACACAGACACATATACGCAAGTGCACTCCCCGAGTACCCACACATAACACACATGTACACTATTTCACACATATATTTTTTCAAGTGTTTATTGTTTCTCAATAATTTTATTTCATATTATATTAGCCAGCACAAGTTTTTCATCAAAATTTATATTCAATAATTTGCAGTCTATAAAGTGATTGCTGGAAGAAAGGGAGCTAAGCCACTTAAGCTAATTCAGAATTTGAAGTCTGAAAAGAAGGACAAACTCAACATATTCTCAAGCTATAAGATGCATAGTGGATGCGACTGTACAGTTTTAGAACCACCAGGTTTGTTTTATGTTTGTTAGATAAAAGCAATATTTGTTTCAGTTGTTCATTAATTAACCTCTTATTTCATGCTGACAAGTGAAAATAAATTTTTTTTTTTTTTTTGGCTATCCGTTGAGATCATCAGATTCTCAGATGAGGTATGAGTTGTTGTTTTTCTCTGTTTCTACATCTTCTTTTGCTTCAGTATTCCATCATAAAAGGGTGGTTGACGTGTTGTGTTGTGGTTTATAGCTAGGCTGTGATATCCACACCTTTTGACCCAAAATATCAATTTTGGCAAATTTATAATTAGTCAGTTTTTACAGCATGCTGTTAGGGGGAGCGGTAAGTGTTTTTTTTTTTAAGGGCACTGGAACCCATATGGGTTAGTTATTTTCTCAGTTATGCTAGTTGGTCAAGCCATCCAGGTTTGTTCTTTGTCTTCCTCTCTCTCTCTCTCTCTCTTTTTTCCAGTTAAGTCTTTGCCTTACATACAACATGCCCCAAATATCTTAGTGGTCTACATCTTTTTTCTGTAACCGGAATGCAGAACCTTTGTATAGTTATGATGAATACTAGAAAGCTTACTTTTTTCCACATTAGGTAAAGCAGGGCTATCCAGCCGTTTTGTATTAATGATCTTTCTATGCTGCGACCCAAACAGCAGACCTGTGATAATCCTCATATTAAAAAATTTGGCCCCTGAATAAACTTAGTTGAATTTCCATGTTGTAAAGGGCGACTGAGCATCTATACATTTGTTAACAGTTCAGCCATTTAATATATTTTAAAAAAATGTAACATATAACAACTTAAGCTCCATTGTGAAATCCCAGTCTTTGTTTCATTTGTTTTTCCATTATTTTTATTACCAAGTAAATTATACATCTTATTGGTCTCCAGTTAGTATGTGTCTTAGTGGTTTTGAAAGTGTTTCATACTTCTGACATGCTGTGTTAAATTTAGCTGCATACTCTTTGGCAGCAGACCGCTTTGTATTTATTTTGACAATGGTGTGAGTGTGGAACCGTTCAGACATCAATGAATAGCAAACTACTGGATGTAAATTTTGCCCGAGAAAAACTCAGACTGCCAACAAATACTGCGGCTAACTTGCAACTAACTTTTACTGATTATGAGCTGGTAAGTATTGCACCACTGTATGCAGGAAGATGTACATACAGAGCTCTTATATCAATAAAATACGTACTCGACTAACACAATTACATGACCTGGGTGTGAAGCCTGGTGAAGTACAGCTGTGATATCTTTGAGGTCAGTGTATGAGATATTAAATAAATTTCTCATGGGAACAAAATCAGTAGAGGTACCTTGGTGTGGCTGCTGCACTGGAGGACTGAGCAAGCATGATAACTGCGATATCAACTGTGATAACAAAACCTTACATTGATTAGCACGTTTAATTTATTTCTTACTTTATACTTTTTGTTCCTGTCACTGTTATTTTATAATAAATTGTATTTTTTGCTTTAATTCTCAGTTTAATCTTTCTTTTTGTATCTTTTCTAGGCCCTAATTTGTATTCTCTATCATTTCTTATTTTGTAGTGAAGCGAGTCCTGATGCTTGTTCATGATGCAGTGTCAGCCGACAGAATTCTCAACCTGGACAGCACATCATTAGTTCTCATAGCAGATAAAAAAATTGAGAAACAAGTGCGCAAATTTAGAAAGTCTTGTTCATAACAAAGTGGACAGTTGTAATGTGCTTATAAACATTTATTATACTGTTGACAAGGATAAAATTCTAAACATTGTATTTAATGGTGAATACTACTTATTTTAAAATTAAATTAACCAGAGCAAAAACTTGCTTACATAATGTAACTTAGCAGATTTACTGAATTTTAATAATTATTTGAAATTAAGAATAAATTTTGTTAACTGAAACATGTTTCTTGCTTTAAACTTTACAAAAAAATATTCAAATTATAAATGATTGACACAAAAAAAATTACAAATTAAAATGTAAGATTGTTATTAACATGCGAGTAATGAGTTATTACTACATATTTATGTGTACTGTGAGTAGAGGTTTATAAATAATGACAGTGCGATGACTGAAATTGTCATTGTACTCAACATAGAATTGTTACTATTTTCAAAAGCAACGGATGTCTATTTCTTGGGGAATTTCTTTAACTATTTAAGCATCAAGCAGAAATTGATTTGTTAAACTAATTCTGTTCTTAGAAGTTGTTACCAAAACAACACTGCCATTACTGCTTGTATTTACTACTTTTGCTGTGCATGGGAAAGGTGATAGCATGTTGGCATTTGAATAATATAAATAACACAGAAGTCGAAGTATTAACTCTACCAGCCTACAGTTTTAAATAATTTGTATATATATATATAATATATATTATATATATATACACACATATATATATATATATATATATATATATATATATATATATATATATATATATATATATATATATATATATATATATATAGCATATATATATATATATATTTTATATAAATAGAGAGAGAAGTTCCAACTTGAAGTATCTGATGTTTAAGAATCCCCCCCCCCTCCCCCCTGCCCCCAAAGAGTCAAAACTGTGCACTGTTGTTGGAACTACTCATCAACATATGATTTCCTGCAGCCTCACAAAAGTCTACACGAAATTTGAAAATTCGTCAAATCACCTGAAAAATACATATGTATGATGAATATAAATGTTGCAGAAAGTTACAAATTAATTACATGGAGAATAGAACAGACATATTTAGCAACAATTCAGCATCTAATTCTTTGAGTAGTAAATAACACACAGTATTTCTTGGTAAAACAAAAAATAGTACATTGTTCTTGCTCTATTCTAACACAGAGAGTTGTTATATTAACATACTTTATTGAATTTTTTTGTAAATGTCTTTTATCTGGTAGTGTCCCTATAATAATATCTTAGATTCTGGTATTTTTTCTTCTTATGCATTCATCCAAAGATGTAATTACATTGTGCTTGTTTACAGCATGGCTGCAATATTTGCTCCTTTTGGCCAACACATCCCGCTTCTACAGGCATTTGTTGACATTATTAGCCTTCCAGGTTCTCTGGTATTTAATACCTTCAAGTACATCTCTTAGGGATTGAATGAATTAGATTTATAACTGTCTGGGGCAGAAAGAATTAGGATCAATTATTAAAGCAATCAACATCAATCAGCAAGACCTTTTACACGGCACGCCTGAAAGTATCCTTTTCCTAGCCCCCATATGATTTCAATGCTAATGCATCTTCAATGTCTTGTATCCATCTTCGGGGTGGTCGACCCCTGCCTTGCCTTCCACAAACTGCACCTTCCATCACCGTCTTTTCTAAGCCACCATGACGCATGATATGGCCAAAATACTTCAACTTTCGGGACAGGATTAAAGCAATCACATTTGGGAAAATGATGAGATAGGTGAGGTAAAGAGAAGAAACAATCAGAATTGAATTGGCCAATGAAACAACTGAATGGAACATAAGGAGTGAAGAAACCCTTTTGTAAGGAGTAACAAATCAACATATGGTGAGTTGTTTGACTATAAGATTTACAATAATAGAAGCAGACTTATGTTAGAGAGAAATTGGATGGACTGATTTGGAGGTGAAGTTATGAAAACTTGGAAAAGAAAAACAAATTGAAAGATTTTAATCAGCCAAACGCAGTTTAAAAAAAAAAAAAATTATGTATAAAAATGTATAAGCTAATAGAAAATTTGGCTATCCTCCAACTAACGGTCAGTAAAGATGGCGGCCGGAGAACCACAAATTGAGTCACGTTACTGTGGCTCGAAAGGACATTTTACGGCCGCCATCTTTACCGACCGTTAGTCGGAGGATAGACGAAAATTTACTTACGGAGAATCAAATGTTAACTAAACACCATTAAATTCTAATACCGAATGAATTTCAGTTTATGAAACGTTATTTAACTAAATGTATGGCCTTTGCAGAATAAAATAACATTATTAATGTCATTCAAAATATTTAATCATATTATTCATACAAAATAGGTTGGTATGACATTTTTCTGTTAATTACAATAAAGATGTACAATTTGTATGTAAATTCTATGAATATTATTTTGCAAATTTGCAAATATTGATTTGTTTTTTTAAATAAGATTTTTAAATTTTATTTACTAGTGCTGTACATGTTGTGTAATAAAATTTCTTATTAAAATTAAGTTTTTTGTTTGAATAAATGCTGAAAAGGTAATTTTATTGTTTTGTTTTAACTCGGGCTGTACCGAATATTCGCTTCGGGGCCGAATAGTGGACCTAATAACTATTCGGTATTCAGCCAAATACTTGCAGTCAGGCCGAATACGAATAGTGGCTTACCCTACACCCGTTTCTGCATACACTGCGATGGAATCTCTCATTAACACAATAGTTGCTGTTGCCTAAGTCTGTCGTAGCGGGGGAAGCTCTGACCTGGTTGCGTGGTACAGCAGCTGACAAGGCAGAGGTTCTCAAAGTGACGTTATTAAAGAAGGCATGAAGATACTTAGAAGTTAAAATTTAAATTGACTTTCCTCGCCACTGTGAAAAAGTTTTTTTTTCCTTGTTTCACACTCAAAGTGTATCATACTGCATAAAATACCAACCGTAGCATGCTAAAAATTGTCTTTGTATTTATCTCGAGGTGCGACCGATCCTCCATATGTATTCGTGAAGGTGCAGTGGATAAGTAAGGTTGTGATTACATTTTGACTAAAATTTTAATGTGCAAAATGTGATCTGTACAATAGTAACTGTTAGCCTCATTAAGTAAGCACTTCTATTTAAAAGCAATGCGTTGTGAGTCCTGGACAATCGGTAGGCAGGCCAAACAATTTCTTGAGGCCTCAGAGATGTGGTTTTACAGAACAATGCTTAAAATACCCCGGACAGCTAAAAAAAAAAGCAACCAAGAGGTTTTAAAAGAGGCGGGAGACCGAAGACAACTAATCACAGAATCAGAAGGAGACAGTCATCATTTTTCAGCCATGTTATGAGAAGAGGGAAAATGGAACAAGTGGTGACCACTGGAAAGATCTGTGGAAGGAGTTATAGAGGAAGACAATGAGAGAAGATTCTTGACAATCTTGTTGCATGGCATGGAGGTGTGTCAGCACACGAACTAACACATGCTGCAGAGATCGCAGATTGTGGCAAGGCATAATCACCCACGCTAGTCAGCAAGGCACCTGATGATGATGATGACACACTATTCGTATTCATTCGAATAGTTGGTCCCGCTATTCATATTCGGCCAAATAATAGTAAAAATCACTATTTGGTACAGCCCTAGTTTTAACATCACTGATTATGGAGTCATTTGATTGTTCTATTATATTCACAGATGTGTGGGAACCAGTCTGGCCTATGCGGCCACATTAAATAAAATGAATATTTTCTCCATTTAAAGGAAAACACCGCCCTCATTAACCTGACATATGAAACAGTCATTACCTTTGGGTGCACTAGAAAAACATTTGGTATGGTGAGATGGCAATACCCCATCATTTTCCAAACATGGTATTGCTTTATGGGGCAGAAACATGGAGAATAGCTTAAACAATCATCAGTAAATTGCAAACATTAAATCAAATGGTGCCTGCAAAGAAGAGGAGGAAATAAATGGTAGTCACTAATGTTGAGCAATGGGAGAAAACCAAACAAATTCTAGTGAATCAAGAGGTGGAGAAGAGATGCTGGCTTTGGACAGGACTCCGACACACATTAACATCTCATCTGAGAAAAAATAGCTAGAATGTCTATCCAGTGGAACTCACAGGGGCATGCCTGAAGGCCTATGCTCCATTGGAAGATAAAAGGCAGAATAGGAAAAAGAAGAATATGCAGTAAGCAAGTGAGCACCTGGTGAATTCCAAGAAAAATTTGACTTTGGCCTCCAAACCCAAACTTAAATGGATATCCTCCTTTGCCAATATTACTTAATAAATCTACTTAAAAGTTATTGAAATGCTGTCAGCTAATGTTCTCATCTGATGATGAGTTCTCATCTTTCAAGCTTTGCCTTCTGGATTTTGCCTCATTTTAATGGGAAAAACAAAACTGCGAAGACTGACCTCGTATCCTGGAAAACTCAAAACCTGAGGTTCCACAATATTTTGCTGTCATATACGTTAAAAGCAAGATAAATACATTGTTGCGATCCAAAAATGGTTCTGAAATTCTGTTCTTTAATTGTGAAAACTTATCTCCCCATCGCCACCAGTGCTGATTTTGCTACTCCCACATGCCATCGCCATGGGCTAGTAATAGTAAGCCAATGGCACTGAACATGAAAAAAGAAGCTATAATGCTGTTGCTTGGCATATAAGGAAACAAACTGATGACTACATGCTGACACAATTGATGGATTCATGAATCCAGTTCACCACTAGCAGGAAGGATAATGGTAGTGGGTGAAGCAGGATTGCGCATAACAAATTTAATCAGAACTAGAAGCATCCGTGTTCTTGAACTTCTGAGAGAGATGCAAGCATATACACTGGCATTCAGGAAGCGGCTGTAAGGGACAAAAACAGAATGGAATGAAATTCACACATCACCCAATGATTGTTTTTCAGTGGAAGAGTGGAATAACAATTGACCTTTAATATGAATAAGAGTTATTAAACTAGAAGTCAATCCTATTCTGATCCGCTGGATTGCTGCGGTCCTGTTCCAG